TCGCCTTCTTTCCAAACCAATCTACTTCTTTAGCTTTGGGGAGATTCCGAAGATACAACACAAACGAACGATCGGGCTCGGCCAAGAGAAACGACACAGGAGCTCGCATGTAGGTGAAACTACCTTCGTCAGCAAACGTTTCCAGGCATTCGTGCATGTTCAACGAAAGATCTGTCCCAATCGTTTCGCTCTTCGAGATTCTTAGGATCAAGCAGCTTTACAAAAACCTCAGGTGGAAACGGCATATCAATGTTGTAGACGATCTTGAGAGCAACATGATCTTTGTGATCATGAAATGTTTTTATCCAATAGTCATAACCATCACCAGAGGTTGCCAGGCTCCAACCATCTCCTTCCTCTAAATCTTCTTTTAACATTTTTGCTCGTTCAAGTTCATCTTCGAAGGAAATGTTATACGGAACGATTGTTGTTCTTTTTCCACCAAAAATTCAATCCTTAAGTCGAAGTTGGTCAAGAATAATGATGGTCATAAAACTTCTAAACAATCCGCAGGCTACCGTGAAGCTGCGAGAGGATTCAAGACAAAATTTAATAAATACCATACGAGGGACCGCGGAGCAGGGTGGCTCGCTGGGCTTTAGCCCCACCAATAATTTTTCTGTAATTAGTCTTTAATTTCAAATATTTTTTAGTTCGCTCAAATTTACAAGCAATATTTTTAACAATTTGTATTTTTTGCTTACATGCAAGTATACGTAGTGTATCTTATCTTGAATGCTATCGTAACTTTTACTTCCTCAATTACGTATATATATTTTAATAACCAATTCAAAGAAATGAGTATTCTAATTTCCAACGATATCTGTCGTAATAAATCCGCAATGAAATTAGTTATGTTCAGTACATATGTTTGGCCAGAATAAAAAAAACAGAGACAAAAAAGACGAGCATGCATTAGACCATTAAAACAGCGTGGTTATCCATGTCAAAATATTTGACATAATAACCAAACCATGGTTATATTTTTGGTATATTAGACCATGGTCGAGTATACCGTTTTCCGGCCATATATCTAACATCATAAGCATGGTTATATTGTTTAATGTTTGTATATGAGTGCCAAACTTGCTGGGCACTTTAAAAATAATCCTTAAATTGCGAGGCAGTTGCGGCCATTTCATAGGCCTAGGTATATTTGAAAATTTTTGTATATCACCACAAAATATATTTGCAACATTCAATAGGAACAGACGAGTATTGACCATTAAAACAGCGTGGCCAGAATTAGACCGATTATGCAGTTTCCCGGTATATTCGACCATGGTCGAGTGTACCATTTTCCGGTATATTTGATCATGGTCAATTTTCTGTTTATCCGTATATTTGACCGTGGTTAGGTATACCGTTTTCCGGCCATATTCGACCATGATCGAGTGTACCATTTTCCGGTATATTCGATCATGGTCAAGTATATCGTTTTCCTGCACATTCGACCATGGTCGAGTATACCGTTTCGTCTTCGATGCTTGCAAGTTGCAATTTTATATAGATGTTTTTATATGAGCACCAAACATGCTTGAAACTTTACATAGGTCTGTCTGTCATCACTTTGTCTGTCATAGCACCAGAATTAATATTAGACCATTTAGGCTGCGTGGTTATCCATATCAAAATATTTGACATCATCACCAAAGCATGGTTATATTGTTTAATTAATGTTTGTATGTGAGCGCCAAACATGCTGGAAACTTTACATAGGACCAGCATTTGACCATTAAAACAGCGTGGTTCCTCTCATAATTTAATAAAATGCGAGAAGCCAAAGTACAGCGTCATAGTCAAACTTGCACGAAGAGTCTCTTTGGTTGTTTGTATTGTTTAATCCTTGTATATAAGCGCCAAACATGCTGGAAATTTTATATAGAACAAGCATTTGACCTTTAAAACAGCGTGGTTTATTATAGGGACCGCGAAGCAGGGTGGCTTGCTGGGCTTTAGCCCCATGCACTAATAATTTTTCCGTAATTAATCTTTAATTTCGAATGTTTTTTAGTTACAAGCAATATCTTTTAGCAATTTGTATTTTTTGCTTAGCTACATGCAAGTATACGCTGTGTATCTTATCTTGAACATACTATCGTAACTTTTACTTCTTCGACGTATATTTCAATAACCAATTAGTCAAAGAAAAAGGGTATTCTAATTTCCAAAGATATCTATCGTAATAATGGATTGAAATTAGTTATGTTCAGTACATATAAAAAAAGAGACAAAAAGGACAAGCATGCATTTGACCAATAAAACAGCGTGGTCATCCATGTCAAAATATTTGACATCAGTATTCAGACCATGGTGGAGTATACCGTTTTCCGGCCATATTCGATGTTTGCAAGTTGCAACTTTATATACATGTTTGTATATGAGCACCAAACATGCTTGTGACTTTACATAGCACCAGAATTAGACCCGATTAAACCTGCGTGGTTGTCCATATCAAAATATTTAACATCATAAGCATGGTTATATTGTTTAATGTTTGTATATGAGTGCCAAACATGCTGGGAACTTTACAATAATCCTTAAATTGCGAGGCATTTGCGGCCATTTCAGAGGCCTGTGTATATTTTAAAATTTTCCCGGACTCTCCTGGCAGGCGCGCGGTTCAGAGCCCCAGCAATACGAGAAACGCTCCGCGGTCCCTGTGACATCCCAAAGTTAATTAAGACTGACCTTGATAAACAGCAATTTTAATTATAATGTCCAATAGTACGTTCGTGCTGATTGGTCGAGAAACGTGTTTTCATAACTGTATTGGCGGCAAGTGAAATTTTCACCAGCCGCCAATACAGTTATAAAAACCGTGAAATGTTTTTATAACCATCGTTAGAGGCTGAAGAAATGTAACGGAATGATTGACAAAAAATATGAACAAAATAATTAATAGTGTTATATACTTTACTATAAAAATGTTGAAAAAGAAGTCCGGAACAAAAAGCGGTTCCCGTGTTTAGATTTAAATATACTCTGAATAAATACTCTCTATAAATAAGAAATACACTCTCTAAAACGTTTACATTGTTCGTTGTGCTACTTGTGCATGGTTCATTGTAAATAATGTTATTGGAATTTATAATTTAATCGAATTAAAACTTTTTATTGAGTTACATTATACTAAGAAATAGAAAACATTTTATCCTGTGACTGTGTTCTTATGCAGTTTTAGAATTAATTTAGAGGGGACTATTGATTTTCCTTCTGGATGCTCAGGATTCACTGTATCTGAAGTGATAGTCACAGGTCGGTGACTATAGCTTTTTGTTGTTGACGTTGTTTTTCAAATAAGGAATTTGAAGTAATTATAAATATTTATGAAATTATGTTGATTATTATTTGTAAGCCAAACTATATTATTTTGTAAACGAAATTTATACCGGCTAAAACAATTAGTCGCCTCAGACTCGGTGATTACAAACGTATATTCATTTTGCCTTCAGCTGCATGGTTGAATATTGGCTTGCACATGTAATCACCTCGCCTTTCGCGACTAATTGTTAATTAGGAGCACTTGTAGGAGTTTGGGAGAACTCGAAATTGTTGCTGACTTGCAATACTCACATTCGGAAACTGCCGTAAAACGACGGAAGCACGTGTTAAATACCATCTCGCTTGTTCCATTTGATGCAGGATCAGACAACCTGCACGAGGAATTTAAAAGCACGCGCTGAATCAGTTTTAGCGGGATTCTAAAAATATCGTTGCTTCACTGTAGTTATTTTATAAAACAATTACCAAATGTTTTTTTGTCCAGGATAGCGTCATCCATGCACTGGGGATTTTGCCCGACTTTCGGAATGCGTGAAAAACCACGAGCCTCGCTCAGGCGAGTCTCGCAACAGCCCTCGTGCATGGATCACGCAATCCTGTACGGATTCCAAGTTTTCAATGATAAACATTGTTTAGATGTGAGATGCTTGTGCTAAAAGTTATATTACATGTATTAGCTAAAAAAAATTATGATTGTGATTATGACTGTAATCTAATAATACGACTATGACTGTAATCTAAAGATACGATTATGACTGTAATCTGAAGATACATTTTATTACTGCGTCGCGCACTGCGCGAACGCAGTCTAAAATTGCCGTCGGTGTTTCGTGTTTTTCGTGTTTTTTACGTTTTCGACCCGGTCTTCCTGGCCGCGCAGGCCTACTAAGATACTCGTATTTTGAACTCGTCTGATTTCGTATCGAAATATTTTCGTGCTAAACACACTTCAAATAGTAACCTAAGCCTAGTAACCCCCACAAAAGAAATATTTTACTGAAACAAAAATTGAAAAAGTTTGTTGTCGCTGGGATTCGAACTCGGGTCGTGCGAACCAAAAGCAGGAACTGCATGCACGATACACGTCATATGAAATAACACGTACACGAGTCGCTGTGCATGGCCGATAGCGCAGGAAATCTAGACATCTGTCGTTCGAGAAAATACGTACAGGTAATCATAATGCTGGATTCTCGTCTTGTCTTGTTTGATATGCTCACTCTACAAACACTAGCACACACTGATCGTGGTAAACCTACACTAAAACGGGTTTACAGACAACGATCACATGAATCATGAAAGCCTTGTATGCCATGAAAGCCTTGTATGCTATGAAAGCCTTGTATGCCATTTTTCAATCAAACCGCACTTTCCTTTCAAAGGTAAAAACGGCCAGACCGATCCTATTGAATTTCAGTACAAACAGATTCCTAGAGTACATGATTCAAAACTCAACCTTATTCACGTATATCGTTAGCTACATCTGCCTAGCACAAATAATGCAATTTTATCCCTATATTCTGTGCGAAGTGCTCTATTTACTAGAAACCCTAAAAAAGAAACATTTTCCTAAAGGAATGAATATTGACAGGAAATGGGGCACGGTTGCATGCAACGATTGACGCGACGCATTTACCGCCAGAATAGGCGTCTTGTTCAATTTATTATAATTGAGCAAATTCTTAAATATTATCACAAGTCACAACAATGCTTGGTAAATAGTATAATTTGGAGTTATTAAAATTTAGCATAATTCAAATTCATATTTTGCATCCTGAATGGTGATTGGCTAGTTGTATATACCAGAGAGTGCGATATACTCAAATTGCACTCCTCTTAGCCAATAAAATTGCAACATTAATTGTAAAAGATTATAAAAGATATATAATTAAGTAATCTTTCACGCGTTAAAACGTTAAACGGTTAAAATTGTGTCTAAATTCTCAGTGAAAGCTATAATTTTTGAATTTTTTTAGGACAGCCTGCATGTATATTAAAAGATGCACAGCGATGATATATGTAAATCAAACGAGAATTCGAATCAGTGACAAACGAATTCTGTGTTATTCTTTAAAGTACTTGTCATAACCCATAACCATGTCATCGCGCCATTCGTTAAACTTTTTCGGCACAACTCTCTTTTGCATCCATTCCATGCCGGTTTTCGGAATCCAACCGTTGTAATTGTTGGCAGTTAGGCCAAACACGTGACACGCCTTCCTAGGTTTCTCTTCATCCTCTGTTATTATATAGAAGTTTCCACCGTTAGTAGCTCTCACATAGCCATCTTCGCCGGGAGTTTTTGAAGAATGCCACGCATGCTTTATCAATAGCATCGTCGCCTTCTTTCCAAACCAATCTACTTCTTTGGCTTCAGGGAGATACAGCACAAACGAGCGATCGGCCAAGGGAAACGACAAGAGAGCTCGCATGTATGTGACACTACCTTCGTCAGCAAATGTTTCCAGGCATTCGTGTTCGATGAAAGATCTGTCCCAATCGTTTCGCGCTTCGAGATTCTTAGGATCAAGCAACTTTACAAAAACCTCAGGTGGAAACGGCATATCAATGTTGTAGGCGATCTTGATAGCAACAGGATCCTTGTGAAATGTTTTTATCCAATAGTCATAACCATCACCAGAGGCTGCCAGGCTCCAACCATCTCCTTTCTCTAAATCTTCTTTTAACATTTTTGCTCGTTGAAGTTCATCTTCGTACGAAATATTACGGAACGATTGTTGTTCTTTGAACGCCATTCTAACAATATAATGATAAATGTGACTCTTTAACATAAGAATTTTTAAAGTGTTTATAATTGAATGCATAATTATGTATCGATGTAGACGTAGCTTGATAAACACAACAAGAGATCTTACATTGACAATTAATGGCTATGATAATGTGACATATTGAGATGGCGATGAATTGCGTTTTTAAAAATGTTCGGTTAAAAATTTATAAAAATATCATGTCAATTGTTAAAGTGGATATCAAAATGCTCTGTACACATGTTGGCATGTGACTGAAGTATAACTCATCAGTTTTTTTGTGAAGAATAATAATATAAGCCCTTGTAAAATAAGCAATTACCACTGTTCTATTCAAGCGTGACCTTCCTTTGAATTATATGTTAATTATTAGACAACCATAGCTATAACATATTCAAATCGAGAACCGAAGTTTATATATGTCATAAGGCATGTATTTGAACTTGAAACAAACAAGAAACGCACGAACTCGTATTATTAGCCTGGTACCATTTGATAAAAACTAAAACAAAATATTGAATTATTTACTTTACCTAAACTGTCTGGACGGACGTCTTATTAATTTCAAAACCAATTAAACTTTTTCTTGAGCATTTATTTGTGCCTTTTTTATTCAGAATTTCTCTGTTTATGGATCGCCGCTAACGCAGCCCATTACAGGAAAGTGCGGGTGTCCCAGGAAATTTCCTAGGAAATTTGGCCCCCCCGGGGGACATATTTCCTAGGAAATATGGCCCCCCTTTCGGAAATTTGGCCCCCTCGAAAACATATACTTTACCCTGGGTACGAGGTTGCTTTATAGTTTATTGCAATGAGTTCGAGAATCGCGATCACGGAACAAAGGACCTAAAATTTATAGCTTTGACCAAGAAAACGAAACGATCAGGAGATTCTAGTTATTTTAGCCTAAATTCCGGCGCATCAGTATAAAATACTTCAGAATAACAACCACGATTATCATATCATTACTGCGTCATTAGGCTCTTAGTAAGGGGCTTTTATCGAAAACAACAGTAAATAAATAAATAAGTAGTGATTTCCTAAAACAACCTTTCCTATATGTATGTATAATAGCCAAGCCTATAATTTATAAAGTCGCCAAATTTCTGGGGAGTATTGCACAGTTTGGAAAATATATATATATATATATATATATATATATATATATATATATATATATATATATATATATATATATATACACCCATTTGCAAAAACGTTGGCCGCAGATAGATAGATAGATAGATACTCGAAGTCTAATTATAATTGCATATGAATACATTTGCATGGGATTTCAATCATATTACACAACATATGCAATTCTAATTAGATTTCGGGTATCTATCTATCTATCTATCTGCGGCCAACGTTTTTGCAAACGGGTGTATATATATATATATATATATATATATATATATATATATATATATATATATATATATATATATATATATATAGTTTTGAAATGGCGAACTTCTAAAAGGAGTCTAGGGAGTAATTAAAGTGCCCATGTCATAAAATTGGAATTTATCTCATTAGAATCGCCGTGAAACGTAGATCACGAAAATAGTAATCACATTTGAAATTGAGTTTGTTTTTGCGGAGAAAAAAAGGGATAAAGTTTGAAAATTTCAAATTTTAACGGCAAAAGTTTTTGAAATCCGCGACAGTCGGAAACTGGTAACTAATACGTCACAATAGGAACTCGCATATTGCGCCTTTTGATAAATAATAGTATGTAGTACAAGAGAAGCGATTTCATTCCAGATAAATTCGGTTATTTAACGTGGCAGAAATATGTCTTCATCAAGTTTAGCTATTGAGAAGTTACCAAAGGAATGACACCCATTAAAATTGTTTTCCTGCCAATGCAATATCAAGAAAGAACAAAAGTTAAGACCATGAACGCCGGTCAATGTCTGCCTTGTCAGGCAGTAAGAACACTTCGGACCATACATTAACGAACCAGATGCCGATGATAAGCTGAAAAGCTATCGCGAAATGGTGCAATCGTGCAACGATCATGGCATCGAAACTACAACGAAGACTTGATCGTAGGCGTCAGTAAAAGCAAATGTTTTCTTATGATCTTGATTGCGCGACTTGCTTTCCGTGACCCCAGAACATAATATCATTACGCCAGATATACAGTATTCAAATTACAAATAGATTCTGTGTTAGTATTCTGGCAATTGTACTTAATTCTAAAGTTTCATCCTAGTTGATCGTCATTCGTAATTGCGCACATACGGTTCACCCGGGTGTAGATAAAAGGCGGACGCGGACCCCTAATACATTTCACTGCCCTATATAAATATTATATTAATAGCATTATGATTGAGGTTTTCCTGTGGCTCATGAGTGCCGGTATTTCTACAATGTGTTTATGTGTAGTTAAGTCACGCATGCCTGTGTGATTCTCTGGTTTATTTTCATTACAAATCAACTGAGCTAGAGTATGAGTGGAGTTCCTATGCGCTTTCAAAAAAATAGTTCAATGAGAGACTGAGAGTTATCGATATTAACTGAGAAATCTAACACGTCTCGCGCAAAAGAAACATATCAAATCATGTGTATATAAATATAACCCAGTACATGTCGCTTTTATTATGGCATCTTTTTACCAACATTCTTTAGCTGTCTTTACTAAAATGTGCGCACTCGCATCTTTTGAGACGTTATTTACCGAACCTTTATCTGTTAACTGAAACACTGCCTAACGTGTTTACAACACAGTAGTGAGCTTAAGCAAGCGACGTTTTTGACAACACAAACGGCATGAGTAACGTGAAAAGACTGGGTCAAGGATTGTGATTGGTGAAAAACAGAAACTTTACTTCCGGTAAACGTACGTGTTGTCAAAAACGTCACTTGCTTAAGCTCACTAATGACTCAATTGGTCATGACTCATGGCGTAGTTGCAATTATTACACGACTGTTGCCAGGAACGTACAAATATTAAAGCCATTCACAACACATTTTGATAATATATGAGTCACTTTATACAGAATTGTCTGTTAAGTAAGAACAACCACTTTTTTGCGCGGTTAGCTTCTACTTATTACTCCAAGCAATAGAGTTACTAAATTGTCGCGTCGAACGAGTTCCTATTGTGACGTCAAACACCTTGTTTCGCACCAGTCTCATTTGCGCGGTTTTCAGAGTTTTCATTCCACTAAAATCAATGTTTAGATGGAAATAACTCGAAAAATAAAAATCCAATTTCAGTTTTGATTTAGAACTTACTAACTCATTTCAAACAAAGATTCTAAAAATCTGAATTCCAATTTTATGACATGGGCACTTTAATACAAATTTGCATAAAAACGTTTAAAAACAATCGGCAAACACAAAACTGTATTGTCAATTGTAATGCGTTAAAACTTTTAACGGTTATCTAGCTCTAAAATGGTAAGGTATATATATATATATATATTCCTCTAGGAGCTACACTGCTTTGGTGTGCCGTTAATTAACGCCATAAATTGAACTCCACTAAATTCGCTAACCCACGATGGCAGAAAAAACCGTGCGCGGATAACAGTTATAAAATGTATCTTTAATGATGAAATTATAATACGGTGCGGTTGAAGATATGGTAACTGGTCGATTGGGTAACGGAATGTTGGATAAAGTGATCGCGGAATAGAGAAATATAGTGGGTAACGTTCGAACTAAAACGCAAGAATTAAGCCGCACTAAGTCATGAAATCTAGACGAATTACATACTATAACGGACACGCACTAAATACAGAATCAGCTATGTTTACTAGCTATAATAATACAAGAGTCTTACTTTAGTTGGCGCACACACCAAATGGCGGCTGAATACCGTCGATAGAGTTAAAACGTAAGAGTAAATATCCAATTGCAGAATAGAGTGACCTTATTGTAGCCGACAGTGATACACAATGAAACACTAAACTGGGTGCAGTTGCGCGTGCAGTCGCAGGAAGTAACAAAACGGAAATTAACGGCACGCAATAACAATAATAACTATAAAGTTAGGGTTTCAAACCTACACCACTTTTCCATTTTTAGAAATTAATAGTTTCTTGTAAACATTCGCGAAGTATGTCGGGCGAGTGTGCTGTTTCGCTAATATAAAGTTCAGTAGTTCACACACAAGTGTTCACTAGTGATAAAGAAATTGTCGCTGTATTAAAAAGGTTGGTTGTCATGTAGAATCAATCAATCAATCAATCTTTTAATCATCTTAAGATAAAAAGGTACATATCTTAAGTTACAACTATTTCAAACCTATAAATCGTATCTAAAAATAAGTCTATTTACAAAAGTGTTTTTAAATCTATTTGTATTAATCTTTGAGTGAATACTGCTCTGCTTTCAAAGGTTGTAACAAGTTGTCTTTTTTGATTGATTGATTGATTGATTGATTGTAGGTACAACTACCTTGAGTGCGCGGATTCTGTTTTTGTATTAAACGAATACGTCACACTGGCCGTATTCAAGCGAACCCATTTCTGTGATCCGTAAAATCTCTACTCAAATACAAAAAGCATACTATTTGTATAAGTACAATGTGAAAAGGAAAAAGGCAAAGAAAGAGAAATAGCTGGATTGGAGAAAATGGAAGGAGCTGTGGGATGATGATAAAGGAAGAAGAGAAAAAGAAAGGTTTAATAGAAGTAATAACATATATAATAGTAGAACAAATTAGGGTTGACAAACTACTGATTTTGTCACATTGAAAAGAAGTTATTTGTTCATCTATTTGTCAATAAATGTTTGCAATTGAGCGTGCCCCGTGATTACAAACACACCGTGCAAATCCTGGTGCAAATCAACCGTATACGTATACAAATATACGATTTTACAGACTATAGCCCGTTTACAATACACTCAATTCATTAGCACGGCTCGGCAGGGCTGATATATGTACCCTACCAATTTCATCCGAGCTCGGCCTTTGTATTGGCAATCTAAGAAGGTATAAATTTGGTACGGAGGCGCAGCGCTAATCGATTGAGTGTAGTGTAAACAGGGCTTTTAGGTAGTACAGTCATATTTGAAACGAAATTATTTGTCAACGAACGTGCACGACACATGCGAGAATGAAATACTGATCGATGGTCATGATTCTAATGAGTATGGTGAACCCGTTATGGTATAGCCACAGGAGGTTTTCACTCATCCTATGGCGCACTAGCTATAATATGATGCAATTGCTGCACTTTAAGATTTCTTTCTCGTTCGACTTTTGGTTCCCATCCTACGCGATCCCCTCGATTTGGAAGTGCTGCCTCTACTGACTGGTTTTCTTCGACTCGTGTTAAATGGTACAAAGCTCCGATCATCATCACTTGTGTCCGATGTGGAGTCAGAATTGGATTCAACTGCACTTGCTTTAGCATCCTTAAGCGGGCTTGGAAAGCTAGTTTTCGACGACTGGCTAGCAACATTCGTAATAGCGTGGCTGTCACATCGAATGTCAACATCATTCGTTTGTTCCTTATTAACACCGTCAGTTGCTTTTTTAGAGTTCTTCGTTGATTTCCTAACTTTTCGCTTTTTCAAAGCTCTTTTTTCATCGTCATCAGATTCCTTGTCCAATAAACGATTCACAACCCGCCTAACGCGACGACTTTTAATTTTTCTCGCTTCGCTGGACAGAACAGGGAAATATGAGTCGATCTTTGGCTGTGTCTGCATTAACAACAGTATAAATAGAGGCCACGGGACGGAGAATTTATAAAGAATTATAAAGATTTTTTAGTAGGCTAACTATATGTTTGCTATACACATGTAATGTATGGGAATATCGCTCAAAAAAACAACAACTTAGAACTGCTTCTTCGTCGTTAAACCCAAATAGCTAATTTTCGTGAACTTGTATACACGTATACACATACTTTTGTATACGTGCAGCATAGTAGCAGCAGAAGCCCACGATATTCTTTGCATAAATCTATATTTCAAAGCAATTCGGCGATGCAATATGAAAAAAACATGACACATTTTAATTTATCAGAATCCCCTAACCGAGAAGCCGCCATCTTGTAGTCTAAATTCGTTTCTGCACCGGGCTTTCACATCATATAATATAATTAATGTTGCATCGCGTTTCTTTTACAGAACTTAATATCATTCATGCTGTAAATCAATATAATTTATACCATACCTCCCTGGTATTAAGGCGTTTTATTACAGGAAGCAGAATCTCGTCTGTTTTCATCTTGCTCCACCCTAGCTTCTCTGAGGCAAATGTGAAGATAGTTAAAGAATAAATACCCATCTTTTTTATTGAGGTGTTTATATGAAATGCGATCTGATTGTATTCTAAGACCAGTGGCGTACGAGCCATAATCCCACGCGGGCATCAACTCGAAGCTTTTAAGAATCAGAAAATACCAAAAAGGATATAATCTCAAAGAGTGAAGATCTGGGTTAGCCCAACTGAAAGCCTCTCTTGAATCATCAACGGCAGGATTCAGATAGGCCTCGAAAACTTGCGATGACGGAAAGCCAGTAGGCAGAACAACATTTTTCTAAAGTATATAAAATAGATTTTCGGACTTCGGATTATTACGCGATAATCACCTAAGCATATTTTTTTAAATGGTGGCGGGCTGTTTTTGTTAAAGTGACAGATGAAGACGTTATTTTATTCAGCGATATTCACCTCGCCTTCGCCGAATAATTGTTTATTATACAGGCTAGGTTAAGAGGGCCTTTCAAGATAGCTTCACTGATGTTAACAATTATAAACATTCTATGCATCTACGTGAAGATGCAGAAATGCACATGCAAATCTAGAGTCAGTCAACTTACTAATTTGCTTTTTACTTTACTTTCGTGTAGCAGAAGTTTCGATTTGCCCTCCAACCAATTCCTTTTGATAAAAGATGAAAACCAAGCAATGTTACGGCTCGACACGTTTAATTAATATCTTACCATACACACAATCATAAAGAAATGTTCACCGGATGCGATTCTATAAACAGGAAGATTATAAGAAGACAGAGACTTCAACGTTTCTTTCAGATACTCAGTAATCAGGCATTGCTATTGATTTACTAACCTAATATAATATAAATAGTTAAATTCAGTAAAGTACAATTACTAAGTACTAGTTATTGATCATTTAGCATCAACCAATCAGACATTGCATGGCCTTTCGATTGGTCCGGGTTGGCTCGATCTTCAGCAAGCGCTACACAAGAAGAGATCGATCTAGGTCTACGTATAGTCAGTCATGAGACAGAGATTTATACTGTAATCTCGTTTCTTATTGGTCGAAACCCTCCAATTAAATCTCAATATCCGGTAAAATTTTATATTTTCAGCGGTTGTGACGTCATACCGAGGGATATTGATTTTTTTGGCCTCGGCAGATAATTTTGACCTCGATCTGACTAATTCTTGATATCATGCTCAGCCTCATCCAATAATTGTATATTATCTGCGGTGTGCAGTTGAAGCAGGAAGGTTTAAAAAACAACAAATATAAAACCGATTTTACGAAAATGCAACTTAACTTATCATACTAATATCAATCACTGCCCGGGGAGTATTAACGCGGCTATGTCGATATCGCGAAGCCTACGCATGAGCAGCTAAATTTCCATGCAAATGCAAGTAAACCCATCCATGATTGTAATGATACTCGACCATCACTTTGCACCTACTTTAAGTTTTGTAATTTTTCAATGCCTTCGCCAGAAAATTCATTAATGATTTCCATCGCGGACACAATTCCCAAACCTGCAAAAAGTGTTTGAAAACTTTGAAAACTGGCAGTATCATGGGATGGTGAACCAAAACTGGTTCTGGGAGTGACATATACAGATGATCCCATAAGATAGTTCTGACTCTTAATTGGCATTTTTGAAAACCTAACTGGAACCTTTTGTGAATTTGATAAATATTGATAACAAAAGTTCGTATAAAAATGAATGGCGTATGAATGGCGGCGCATCATTGTGAAAATTAAACGTCAAACAGCATGCAATGTAAATCAATATTGAAAAACGACGGTTGCTGTATATACGTAGTTGAACTCGTGGTAAAGCATGATAGTTTTGTTGTAAAATCAAAATCGACTCTCTATCTCGATCGAACGCCAACTTTAAACAAATTAAAGAAGATGGGCGTAAACATTTTCTATTAACGGTTCAAAACTTGCTCACCACCATTGCGCGAAATAGTTTTTTTGCGTGCCGCTAGGCGGTATTCCTATAGTCTATAAAAGTGCCTGAGTGTGCTTGCTGGAGAGTTTTGGACTGCAATTTATACTACACTCTTGGCAATCGTTGGAAAATATTGTGCTGAAAAGATACATGGAAGACGCCAAAACGTAGAAAAAACAAAAACTGACTACCCGCCTATGACAATTTGCGTACCTATGTTTATTAATGATAAACAACAGCTGAATTAATGCAATCTATTTGTTAAAAAACCCAAAGTATGTATAGTAAAGATCAATTATAATGTGTCTGATTGGCGTACTGATTTGCAACGACCGCAATGTGATGTTAGCGTCAAAATACTTGATATGTGTCAACTATAAACCACAAATTATACGCTCCCATTTATATATAAGTGATACCATGATTACACACCGTTCGTTACCCACTTGCGCGCTCAGCGGACTCATTTTTTTATTTACCATTACAAAATGTATACCTTGTACCCCTTCTGTGTAATCACTTCCAGTTAGCAATGCGATGGCAATGAGATTGAGACGGTCCAGACCTGCAAATGGAAAATTTGACCGTTGGTATAATTGATATTGATATAGTTGGTATAGCTTTTTCTCATTGTTTATAAACTGGTGGTGCAATACTGTACCTTACCTAGTATGCACTTGACATCGTCCTCTTGATATAACTCCGCATCATACTTTTGATTGAAAACATTTTTGTAAACCTTTTTCGCTCCGAACAGGATTATGTCACTGTCTTCTGTGATTGAGCCGTCGCACAAATGGTGTCTATCTAATGTGGCACACTGTGCTTCCGCCTCCATGGGACTTACCACGAATGGAATCCCGAATAAGTGTAAAAGTTCCTGAATGGAGAGTATATTTTGAGAGAACCATTTATACTTATACTTTTCAAAATAATTCTGAATAAAAAACTGTATGTTGTGCGCTATCCTGGTCTGTAATGTATATAGGTAAAAAACTTTGTAAAAAGACTTGTAATAAACGTAAACTCCATGGCATGCCGTTACATTTTAACACGAGCACAAGCTATCGTTCACAGAAAACTTAGGCCTACCTGGCTATCCTTATACATTTCATCAGTAACTGTGGCGGCCAACCGACTTTGACGTGTCTTTTCTTCTTTCAAATTTTCAAGATCTTCGTCCAATCTCATCTGAATTTCTCCAAGCTCTTCCTGTAAATACGTATACAGTAGTCATGTTTTAACAAAAACAATTAAACAAATGGATTTAACTCGTTAAACAGATGCGACATCCTTCTTTGTGATGCTCATATGAAGGTACCGTATATAAAATTATGTCATGATATTGAAATTTAAGCATAGTTGCTTCTTTCAAGCTTTCGTTCTTGTTAAAAAAAGTTTTTTTTCGTCCCAGTCGTGTCACGGTGTTTATATATTACAATAAGACCTCCTATACGGCAAATATATTTTGACAAGTAAGAAAGACAAAAATTCGGTAGGAGGTAAAAATTCTAATAATTATCAATAATCCAGCTTCAACACGCAATTATTCATCAGGCGAAAATGTACGACCCTAACTAATAATTTGTATCAGCCTCGTATTTTCTCAATTTTTGTCCATTTGGTATTGAAAACATACCATTTAATGTAGTTAAAAGCCTGCTCTTTTTGAATATAAATATTTCGTTCATAGACTGAGTAGTTCATGCACGTACAATAGCGTGTTGAAGTTGGGTTACCTTTTTTTTATACACCCTGTACTGCTTTTACACGTATCCTCTATGTTCTTGGCGACTGATCAAAACAGCTGACAAGGTATAGAAACGATAAAAATACAAACTATGCAAAAACTACCGCGCGCAATGAACTTATTCAAAAAGAAAAAGTGCTCCTTTAATGAAAATTAATAGCATGAAAATGATCGAAACAAGTGTAGATAGCACAAATATCGTAAATACTTTCAACTTATACTAAACAGTAAACGTATAGTAAATTTTTTCATTTAAATCTACTTACATATGTTTTTCCTTCAAACTCGTTTTGTGCAGATATGTCGTTGACAGCTGGCTCAGGCGCTTCACAATCAGATATATCGCGAACAGACTCATCCATAATCGCCATAGCAGAAGGAAGATTTTTTGTCTCATCACTGGAAGAATCCTTGTCATCATTTTTAAAATTATTTTCTCTTTGAGGGGAAATCTCGCTAAAAGGCTTTTCCTCAGACAATTTCTCGTCAGAAATATTTCCAACATTGCTATTTGCAGATTCGTTAACGACAGAAGGGCGTCTGTTTGAAAGCAACTGTTCAATCAGACTTTTCTTTTTCTTTATTTCGTCCTCAAAATCATCCAGTTCATCCTCAATGGTTGTAAGATCCTTTTCGGAATCCTTTTTATCCTCGTGTTCCTTCGTCGAGGGTGCAATTTCGATTGTAACATTCTCACTTAACTCCCGGCCAACTTCTATCTGAAGGTCTTCGTTGCTAGTTAAATTTACTTTTTGTTCACTAGGCTCACGTGAAGGAGGATTCGCATTTGTATGAATGTTACCATTGTTTGAATCTACTTTTTGCTCATTTGATCCCACAGAATCTAACCTATTCTCTACCAAAACTAAATCGTTCGATTCCGTGCTTTCTTTTTGCATCGGCTGTTCTTTTTCCGACAAATATATAACTTCCTTCTCACCAACCGTCTTAGGGAAGTCTTCATTAGTAATATGCGGGACAGCAACACCGTTTCCGTCTCCAATTACTTTTTTTGAGGATCGATAGGGAAAAGTTTCATTATAAACAATTTCAGGCTCGTTGCCATCACCACTTTCGTCCGTACTACTTGCGGCTTCGTCTAAAGCCCCACTCACGCTAGGTTTGGCGATATCACTTGTGATTTTTGGTAAGTCTTTTAGAAGAATCGGTTGAGGATGTACTACATCTTCGTTGGAAATTTCGCGAAAAAATCCCCCAGCCATTTCATCGGCTTCGTCTTCCAGTTCTACAAAAATATTAAAACAATTCATTTCTAACGAGTCGACTATAGATCTAAATATAGATTTCATGAGTCAACTATAGATCCTCCGGCAGGACTCGAACCTATACGTTTTTGCGATGCCGGTGCAATGCTCTTGCCACTGAGCTACGGAGGTAGCTGACACTTGTAGCAGAGTGCTCGATATACCGAAGTATACACTGAGCTAATAAGATGAGAATAAACACACTCATCAGGTGAATTTAAATGTCGTGCTATATAGGTTATGACAAGAATGCTGGTAACATACCATCAGTTTTACGTGCTTGTGTGCGCTTGATCAAGATACTGTGTCCCGTTTCCTCAGACATTATTTTCTGTGATTGGATAATCGAGTTGACACTCATTTCACCAACGGCACCGACCACCAGCTCACCCGCTTGTTTTTCGTTCATTTCTTTTCTTATTGTCCCCAACCTTTGCGTCAACTTTCCGCGCTTTAACAGATGATCGAGTTGAAAATTCGAAAATTCTTCACTTTCCTAAACATACAAAATATGGTGGGTGATATGAGCATATATAAACGATTATGTGTAATAACAGAGCGCTTGGTGCGAATGGGTTGCTCATTGACAATTTTATGTAGCGATAACTTGTAACGTTAAGAAACATTAATTTCAAGCAGATCAAATAATATCAAATTAATTAATATAATTATGCAGTACCTCTGGCATATCTACATCCTGATACCGCGAGTGTCTTTTACTTTTCTCGTGCATTTCAACAATAAGTTCATGCTGAATCTCATGAGGCAGCTCCCTGAATCCCTCCGAGTCTATGTTTAAATCCGTCGTATCCTAGATGATAATTCCTTAGATCGTTGAAAAGAACGTGATTCTTAAATCGCTCAAATGAAATTGCACGCGTAGCCTACATGACGCATATAGAGAGAATAAAATATTTGCGCGAAAATATGGAATTTATTTCCAGTGGTGAAAAGAATATTTGTCATGCACGAGTAGGCGCAGCGAACTAGTGAGTGCAATATTCTCTTAAATACTAGAAATAAATCCATATTTCCAAGCAACAATATAATATTCTGTTTATTATATGAACAAATTATATAAGCAAACGAAAGTAAATTTTTAGTAACTCGATATGTATTGAAGAGCACACATTTAAATTAACAATGTTCAGTAAAATGTGCTTATAGTTATAGTCTCTTGAACGTGCATGCATATAAAAGAACGGTATGAAATAAAAACGAACGGAAACTGAGCTAGAAAGATTTTTTGATAGGGCAAACACATTTCCTATACGGGGTTTTTGATTAGCTTGGGTATTTTTACGTGTGTTTAAATACGATTTATCTCGGTGGCGTAAAACTCTAGATAACAGTCATGTTCATATAAAATAGTATATATGCACTATATACGCCACACGGACAAAAAATATAGATATTGTATAAACTACAAAAATAAGGAATTCCTCACTATAAAAAGAGGTGATTAAATAGATTAAAACGCTTTGTACCTGCAAATGGTGTGAAGAAAAGAAAGATTCGTCAACGGACGGACTAAAGGAAAAACAACAAAAAATCATGAGAAATACCAGGTGTAGTTTAAAAGGGATATAAATAGGTACAGTACAAATAGTAATATTTCAGAGAGTATTGATCCATGAATAATTTCTTTGCTTACACATACCTTTCTGGCTCCTCTTTCTCAGGCAATGGCGGTAACTCGAATAGATCCTTTTCCTGCACTTGCTGCAGACCCAAACCACTAGTGGGTCGACGGCTAAGAATGAAAAAATAATCAGACATTCTTTAAGCTAAACTTTGTGCGTAAAGTTGGATTTACATGTGCTAATTCCTTTTTTTATTCCGAGATATGATGACGTATATAATTGTCAAAAATAGAAGCATTAAAGTCAATGTCTCCATTCCACATCTCAGAAATTTACTGTATGATGAATTGCAATTAGAAATCGTGTGAAAAACAATAATCAACTATCCTTTTTTATTCCGAGATATGATGACGTATATATTTGTCAAAAAATAAATGAATGAAAGTCAATGCCTCCGGTCCACATCTCAGAAATTTACTGTATGATGAATTGCGATTAGAAATCGTATGAAAAACAATAATCAATTATTGGACGAGATCAAGCAAAATATCGTGATTTGGATTTCCGGAAGTTCCACAAAGCGGGTCGTCATTATTGTTTAAAAAATTGACATCAATGCGCATGCTCAGAGTATTATTTGCAGCTGAGCAACGTCTTTTACAAATGCGCATGCTCAGAGTATTATTTGCACGCAGTTAACTGCCATGAATGTCAGCGATACCTACGATCAAAATTAGTGTTATCTATAGCTACTGTACCTTTTTCGTCCTGTAACACTTCCAATAGCACGGGACTTCAGGTACTTCTCCAAAACATTCTTAGATATCTTTTGAGCTTTGTTACGAGCTGACAATCTAATCGCTCTTCTTGCCGCCTAGGACAGTACAGAAGGAAGGCTTTGACTCAATTGATCATAAAATATTACTAAAGAAGATGCATGAGCAGTTTGGTGTTCAAAATTTGCAGCTGCAATGGTTCCAATCTTATTTGGCGAAACGCAGTGAAAGTCTGTGCCGTTGATGGATATACATTTTCAGCTAAAGAAATGCGGAGTTCCACAGGGATCTATTTCGAGACCTCTTATGTTTTCATTATATAAATATTAAATGATCTGCCAGAATGTCTAAAAACACAACTCCTGGCATGTATGCAGATGATGCTCAAATATATGCACTTTTTCAAGTTTCTCAAAACTAATAACAAAACTTCATCAGGATTTAGGCAAAATAACAAAACGTATTCAGAATGAAAGACATAAAATGAATAAATCTGTATTGATGTTTAAAATACTAAACAACCATTATCCCGCAACGTAAAAATAAATCTATCACAAGGAAGACAAATATGAGTAATTATAATCTTAGAAATGGTGACCAAATACTGAACACTGAAAAAGAGTTTTAGGTACAGTGGGGCCGCGCTAAAAATTGTTAGTATTCAATGACCTTCTTAAATTTCAGGGAATTCAAGAATGCGCAATATAATTTATAGTGCGGCAAAAGAGCTTATGTATAATGACGGAACAAGCCGTTGACACCTGCAGGGAATTCTGATCTTAGTATTCACGGCGGGAAATTTTGAAGTTTGAATTTTTCACCGTGACTAAAACCGGAATTGAACATTGTCAAGCACGCAACTCGCCAGTTGTGGACAGGATTTTAGTATATTGGCAAGAAAATAATTTACACATGATATGTATCGATTTTATCAAAGTAACGATGATCTTGTCCTATTTTTAATGGTTGCCTATGATTATGAACGTATGCAATAATACAGCACTAATAGTTTGTACAATAACGTCTCGCGTGCAACTGTACCAGACTGTTCCGATTGTACAAGAATGTCCCACGTGTACATTTTATTTTTACTGAATCACACTTTCCATCGCCCTACGCTATTATTACACTTTCCATCGGCGCATTGATCGGCTACTACGTATTTTTAAACGAAATTATAATCCAAACTCGCTATGCAATGTGTTAAACGGTAATTAACAGAACTGTCAAATATGTACATTCCATCAATGTTCTGCCTCTGGGACGGAGATATACTATTGCTTGAGTCAGGATTCAAGCCAGGACTCGAGCCAGGACTCGAGCCAGGACTCGAGTCAAGGACTCGAGTCAAGGACTCGAGTCAAGGACTCGAGTCAATTAACGTTTTTCACGCAATGCGACCAATCCGCCATATTTGGATGACATATAGTTGATTTTATAATAAATCATTTTATGAAATAAAAATTAGGGGTAACATAACTCGTAACCAACAGGTAATTGCTGTCCAAAATATCGGATGCAAATCGTTAATTTTCATTTCTGACCATGGCATGGAGAATAAAAACACATTGTGCTTCTATTATCCATTGTTTTAACTTTCAAATCTTTACGATTTAATGGTGCATGCACCGTAATGGTAAAAGAATTAGCCTTTCTAACGCTATGCGACCAATACAATGTTGCTGACTAACTAGAAGTTTTGCAAAGTTCTGTTTTTGAATTCATTTAGCGATTTAAAAATTGTGGACTCAAAAAATGGTATCATAAATAATCACATTTAACGAATTCGGAAAAATTCTAGTCTACTTAAAACCTGCCGCACACGAGAGCAACTAGCCGAGCTAATAATCACTCGTGGCTGTTGGCGTAAGCAAATTTTTCTCTTGTGCGGACAAATTTTAAGCGCTTTTGTTCATTCGTGGCACTTTATTCTGGAACGAATGAACAAAAGCGCTTAAAATTTGTCCGCACACGGGAAGAACCATTAAACTGGGAAGAACCCGCTTACGCCAACAGGCACGCGGGAAAGACGGCAATAGAAGTTTCCATCAGCAAGACGTAGATGAGTCATTAAATCGGAGCTTGTCGGCTCGAGTCCTTGGCTCGAGTCCTGACTCGAGTCCTGGCTCGAGTCCTGACTTGAGTCCTGACTTGAATCCTGCCTCGATATTTAGGTACCCTCTCTGGGACGCACTTCATGCCAGCTGATGCAGTTGTTGACCAGTGACAGCTCTTGTTCTCCCATGTATCAACGAATTTAAATTTCAATTTCAACAAACGAAAAGACTTTTCATGTTATAATTGTAACTATATAAATTATAATTATAACAATTTGCGATGAAATAGGCTGTCATACAAAATGTATTATGTTTTTGATACATTCTCTGGAAGCCATTCCCTGTGTCGGCGCCAGCTTGTCTAGTGTTAATTAAGAAAATTGCTAATAAAGCAAGTTGCTTTTCAACTTATTTCAATACAGCGAGTAATATGCATTATGCCTTGCATAAAATACATTTGTTCAAAGATGCCAACTACATTCGGAAAATACATTTGTTCAAAGATGCCAACTATAAACTTTGTTTGGTGAGAGAAATAAATACATTTCTATTGTTAAATCCTTTAATTTGATACCTACTGTATTTTAACCAAATGCGATTCTTTTGTTGTGTTCTGAAATTGTATTTTTGTAGCCGTTTGGCCCGTTTGCCCACGAAGAAAGTGTTGTCGGTAGAAGTTAAATATATGTAAGCAAAATACATTTCCTAACGCAATTTATTAAAAAGAATAATGTTCTCCTTGGCTTTGCATTTACTTTGTGATAAATTGCAAAGAAGTGGATTCAACTTCTGCAGATGATCATAGTTTCATTTTTTGCATTGCATCAATAAAGGCAATGGCAATGCATAAATTGCATGAATAATGCTCTGCAATATGTAAATCAGGCATAAAGAAAATATTACCATTGTTTTCTTTTTTAGTTCAGGTACACCCCCGTCAAATACAAATATTGGCTTAATCCTGTAGTACAACAATTTACAAATCCTTTGAAATAACAACACAAGATGAGCATTTGGTACAGTGCTACCATGTTGACTTCTCATACCATAGAGGGCTTGATTTAACCACACGCTCACATCTAATTGGTGATATGTCAAGAAAGGTAACAGGCTACAGTATTTGATGGTTTGCATTAAAAAGTGTATTCCCTGAAAGAGCCTAGTAACATTATCAAATTGCAATGTTTGAGAAAGGCAAAAAATAAAGGCTTGCAAAAATTGCAAACCAGGTATTATTGTCCAGTACAGCCATATGGACAATTTGGATTGATTCAAGCATATTTAACCAGTAACTGTTAAATACTGTGAAAATAATTTTTGCTTCATGATTCACTGTTTGAAATTCACAAATGTAAATTCAGTTCATGCAAGTGCAAAAAAGTCAAATTTGGAAATGATGAGATGAATTATTTTTATTTAACAAAGCTACATGACATGGTTTTTATCAAATGAATGTTAGAATCATTTTCTTAAAAACTATACTAATAATTCTTCATTAACAAACTAATTATATATATTTTAGGAAATAGCCTAAAATCGAAAATCCGAAAATCTACGGGTTAGATTATACCACATATATTAATTTTATACTTCCTTATGGCTGCAGGTAGGGTATATAATATATTTATTGCTTTGTCATCACTTCTTGCCTAATCGCTCCTAATATAAACCCGGCACTCCTAATTCTATTGATGTATATTTTACTTAATCGTTTTTTTACTACATATGCCAAACTAGGCAGTGTATGAAAGCAACCCATGGTATCAACCATTTTTGTTGTTAAATATAGTTAGGTCTATATTTATACAATACATTAGTATACTAGCATTCTTAGTGTTTTTACGAAGTGACACAGCTTAAATACTGTAACTAGTTAACTTCAAGCAAAACAGGTAAAGTATTCACTATTCATGCTGGGTTGCATAATAGCATTCTAATATTATAAATAAATTGAAATGTAGAAAGGTACTGTGCGGTTATTTCAGTCATTCAGACAGTGATCAAAGCATGGGTCCAGTGCTATGGCAATCAGCAATGCAAAACAAAATACAATAAAAAAGCGCAATAGTAATGAAACATTGTAACGGCTCCACTTATGCTCACACATGTGTCATGCAGTAGATATTTGAAGGTTGCGAATCAGGTTGAGATGCCGATCACACTATGCTCGGCATCAATTTAAAATCTACGAATAATAGATCTGAATTTTCCTGCTTGTCATAATAATTTCTACTCGAACGATCTTCTCCAAGCTATGCCATGGTGATATGACCGTACGACCATGGGAAAACGAACATTCGACAAAAAGGATACCGACAGCGAGTGTCTTATTTTCAAGAGATTCCAGCGTTATTGGACGACCAGCAGGCTCTAATAACTTCCACAAGCCGTTTACTCCCATTATATAAAGGTTGATTATTCCTGAAACTACTTTTTATGTGTGAAAAACAATAAACAAGCAGATATAAATTTCTGAACTTTTATTGCCATTGGCGGCCATATTGAATCTTACCGCGCAGAGACCTGGAGTCCTGGACCCAGTGAAGTAGTACGCGAAAAACCTGGGAACGAGAATTCTGGTGATCTCGTTACCATGCGATCCCTCAACAATTTCGTTCCCTAACCCCGCAACAAGAAATAAGGGGAATCTCGTTTTAGAACAATCAGCAAAGTTTGTTTACATTTTCAGTAACCCAAAAAGAATGTATAAATTTTGATTTCTTCCGGAAAAAAGTACGTTATTTACCATTTTACATCAGTATTAAAAATATGGTGTATTCGACTGACAAGGTCCAAAACTAATATATCAATGTCAACTGGCAAGGTCTAAATCTAATATATCATATACCGGTATACCTCACCTCACCTCTGTTTACTGACCTTCACTATTGATTGCCCAGTCGAGTTTACCATATGCTGCCTTATTGGTATCACCGATCCTCATCCCCGCCCGCGGGCCCTGGTCCCACTCATATGCTCATATTCCCCTCATCATCGCCACCTACAGATCCATACATATCCCCTGATTTCCCTAAATTTCCCTAAAGATTATGATTTGCTAAGGCTAACCGAATACAAACCCGTCGTGACGTCAAAGCAGGGTTAACGCTCAAAAAATAACTGCATGTTTACGCTCTAGTTTAGAACTCTTACAATTCAAACGTTATAATTTGAGGTACGTGCGATTGTAATACCATGAAATTAACTATAACTTCACAGGATCGGTAATATGAAGTTACAGAACGAATTTTCACCCAGCTTATGGCTCATGCATATCAGGGCAAGAATATGCATATCTAAAATGGCGGATGGAAGATAATTTCAATCTCAAAAACATCTTGAGAAGTAATAAAGTTAAAAACAATCCATAGGCGAATTTTGTAATTGTAATGTAATATTTCTTTTAAAATTGACAAAGATAACTTTTATTGCCGCGTATCCCTTTAAGCTGTTTCTTTTCTCTAAGCTCACGAGGAGAAATATTTCCAGTGGATTCATTTTACCACTTGCGAGAGAACGGAGTAACCTATTTAACAACCAGTTCATCTTAAGTTACCTCGTTTGATTAATCATAATCTTGAAAGTCATCATCAAAAATTTTTTTCACACATTTATTGGCCGCGCTATAGCCATATTTTATAGGACACGAATTTGTTGAAGTTCCTAAATTCAATTGAATTTTAGAAAACTATTACTGACCCAATTTAACTTACGTGCTGCATGCGCATGGACTAAACTATATTCTCTTATAGCAGGATGCAACATGCCCAGTCAGTAGAATAAATAAGATATCCTTTGATTTTTTAGGACGAGATTTTTTTGTTTTGTCTTGAAGTTTGCTGGCAGTTGTGTGCTTATGCCTATACGATTCTTGTGTCCCAAATTTCATTCCGTTTCATTTTTTTTGTCTTATGAGTATTCAAATAAAGACTTTTATTATTATTGTTGTTGTTATCATAATTTCCTTTATGTTATTATAATTTCCTTTCAGGCGATACGCTTTGGTAGCTCTTTGCGTGCCTAGGGTAGGCCACACATTTTAATATCAAATTATCAGCCGTGGTGTAAAAATGCTACGTTATAGATGACGTACAATTAGCTTATCTACGTGGGTATTGAAGTTCAAGGCAATTTAAAACGAAGTACCGGTAAGTTGATAGAACGTGTTGTATAATTATATTCTTTATCGTTCATTTTGTTTTCGTAATCACAGTGAATTTGTTTGTTGCTGAAGCATTTAGGCTAAATATAATTTATAATTACTGTGGTCTTTCAATTTGAACCTGCACTAAAAAGTTCTATAATTCTACGATTCTTAATTTGTTGTATATGTCCATATATCAAGCTACGCCTATAACGTACAGGTTCAACAAAGTGAACTGGTATATCATTTTTCCACATCGACACGTTTCATCACTTGTACAAAGACTCTTCTTCTTTCCGTTTCTTGGCTGGTCGATTACTATTAGCATGCAAGGAATAATCTCGATGTCGTCAAGGTTCATCTTAACGTCTAAGACTGCTCTTTTTCTCTATTATTTACATCTTCCTATACAATTGTATATATTCATCATGCTTAAGACCTTGTAACTCAATACCAAAATATAGACAAGTCTCTCAATGGTTTTAATAAAAAACTTTTAACGGCTTCAAAAATTGTATATAATTATGTTCGACCCGATGTTTATCATATGTCACAATTCGTGTGCCACCTTGGAAATCTCTGACTAGCGAGTACGCAACTAAAATATTTCCCCGAGGATACAGCAAAACAACGAAAAACATTCGATAATTAAAAAGACGATGTAAGAACGCCAAAATAGCAAACGCGGCAGAACGACTTGACCAATGCAAGCCATGTATATATAGCTCTTGTTCAAGTGTTACATATATCTATTGAAGGAGCTTGGCTGATCACTCATGCGATCTTTTAGGGAGCATCTCCTGCGGAAGAACGATAAACTTAAATTTAGCAGAAGAATTTAATCTCATTAAGGACGACTGACAGTACAACAGCAATGGCGTCAAGAATTCGAATTAGTCGAGTTTTGCTTTTTCGGGAGAGAGATTAATAATAGAAATTAATTAAGAGAAAATAATAAACAAAGCATTTGTTTACTTCACGGACTGTACCGCACCTTTACAAGTTATCAATTATAGAATCAATTATAGACTGTAAAGTTCAATAAATATATAGGAATAACTCAATAATTTCTCTTTGAATTGGCAATTTTACAACAGCGAGCTTCATATCCATATCAGGAGTTGAAACTTTTGCAAAACAGAGGCAAGATGTAAATCTGTTTTTCTGTTTCTACTTGCTACTCAATGATCTGGGAACGATTTTTCGCTGTTAATTTTGCACGCTTTTCAAACCTTCCATTTTACATTTGACCTCGTTTTTTACCTCAGTAATCTTTTCCTTTTTGCTTTCGCATTGATTGGAGACGGTTACGCCGGTTACGGTTAGATATCGAGAAGAGGTAGTGAGAGTGAGTGAGGGAGTATAGAGTGGGATTCCGGATTCTACAGTACATTCACCTTATCCAGGCTCTGAAATCAGCTTTGTTAATTAGTAAACAAAAGTGTGTTTACAACTAAATAATTGGATTTACATGCATGCAACTTAACTTTTTAAGAAAACTTAATCGAGACCATATTTTATGGTATATTTCATACATGGCCAGAAAATTCGGACATAATTAACATTCTACTTCCGCCTAAATTTGCATATGGTGTCAAAATAAAGCTTCGTGAGTTTATAGTAAACTGTAATGTGCACAGTACTAAACGCTAAAAAAACACCTTTAGGCAGGTCGATTATAATTTGCCTTAATTGCTCGTTGCAGAGCAAGTTAATCTTAATATTTTTATGTAGTATTTCAAAGTGTTTTATCAGTATTCATCCTGCATTTTCAAAACAAAGTTTTGGTCATTTATCACGTTGAATACTATATAAAACGAAAACCGTAATAGCGTAGAAATAAAATAAAAATGCAGAGCCGACATAAACCTTTACCAGCAAAATATTACCTCAGGATCTTTAATATGACACGAATTACAAGAAACAACCAGGGCAAATTGCAAAGATGCAATGATATTCTTAAATTTTGCGAAATTTAAGAATGCGCAATATCATTTATAGTTCTGCAAACGAATAATATTTGAACAGATATGCAAATTTGCTACGGCAATCTGCATATTCCATGTCCGCAAATTCTGGCCATGAATCTTTGTGTGTAGGATGGTATAAGATGTTTGTAGAATTTTTCCGATAACGTTAAACTGATACGATGAAAAATGTCTGGCTTTGAAATAAAATATCACTAAATCGTGTTCATTTAAACGTGTTTAAAACGTGTTCTCAAACGAGAACGACAAGATCCTCCAGCGGCAACCATGCAAATCTCCTTTCGGCAAGCCAAATACAAAACCACTACCTATCAACGCTCCTTCTTTATTCGTGTAACTAGAACCTGGAATTCCTTACCAACAACAATAAAATCTCCTGACATTAATATTAGGCAATTCAAAACCCCTTTATTTAATTATTACCTGACAGCCCAGATTGAATGCTTCAATGAAGAAGATCCGAGGACATGGAAGACTATTTCTCTTAAGTGCAACACTAGCCGTCATTTACATTCTAAATTAACTTGTTGTTTTTAGACTTCTGTCATATTGTATATTATGATTATCATCTTAATTGTGTGTATTTTTGTTTAAAGGGCTTAAAGTAACACGCAGCCTAGCTTCATGCCTATTTTTATATTGTTTATGTAGCTTCCTCGAAAGAACCATAAATATACCTCGCAAAAGATACTAGAAAGGAATGAACAAGTACAGCTACTCCGGTATAATTTTGGCTACATGTATCGTGCCTGGTATCATGGTTATTATCGGTTGCATTATTTCAAAGTATTACAAAAACATCTTCGAAAATATGATGCCTATCATTATGAAAGGTGTAATCAGAAAAAGAAATATCGACAAAAGACCAACCTACCTCGTCTGCAACAGAGATCTTCCGCCTCACACTCGACGCCTTTTTATGCTCATTTCACTTGTAATTATTTATACATGCGCCCAGCTATTTTTGCTTCTTGCTATTGTTGACGTGACGTATAACTGCGTCCACAGCCCAGACATCGATTGCTTCAAAAGAAATGACGTCGTGAAATTGGCCGATACTTTTGCAAACGACGAATCGCCCGTCAACTGTTCATCTATCTCGAGGGATGACTTCGTGTATTGTTACCGCATTACCGTTTTTGATCCCGAGAGAACTTTTATCTCCGCAGCAGCCGCATACCTGCTGTTCAAAATGCTAAATTTTTCCTTCCTTGTCGTTTCTCACATAATGCTTTGGCTTTCAATGAAATGGAAAGGGAAGACATTATCATACTTCAAACTCGGATTATGCTCATTTATTATTATCCTGATATTTGTACCACTATCTCTAAGAATTTTTTTGGACAAGGTGGAATCTGCATTTAGGAAGTTGTCGTACACGTCCGTGATGCAATTTTTACTTGTTATTGTATCAATCATTTTTTATATATTACGCATCCCATGGGAAAAGTTCAGTAAAAGTGATGAATATTTCAGCGACGCGTCATTACCCATCAAAGAGGGTGAAGACGAAATAGCCGCCCTAAAAGTTAACTGCATATAAACTGAAAGGAAAACTGCTATTAATTTTGCCGCCATCTTTCAAGCAAATTGGAAGCCGGGTATGGTACCAGTCTCTTTTTATTGTTTTGGTTGGGGCGATCGTCGACCGTGAGGACAAAAAAATGAACTGGCACAAAAGATCCAAATAATAATAATAATAGATAAAAATATAACTTTATATAGCATTTTAAGCCTGATATAACTTTTGTTTACGATGAATCCTCTGTCAGCTGTTCATCAATCTCGATGAATGATTTCGTGATTTGTAATTGTATTACTTTTGACACAGAGAGAGCTTTTATAGTTGCCGCAGCGGCTGCATACCTGCTTTTCAAAATGCTTAATTTTTTCTTTCTCATCGTTTCCCACATAATGCTATGGATTGCAATGAAATGGAAGAGGATGACATTAATGTTGTTTAAACTGGGATTCGGTTTTTATTTGGACAGGGTAGAATTGACATTTAGAAAGTTGTCGTAATACACCGTGAATAAATAAAATTCATTCATTTTAAAAACACACATTTTACTATTTTTTAATCTTCATCAAATTATTTAAATACATCGACCTGCACTATCGTGCCTCCTGGCTTCCAGAGATGTCTACAGTCTACTTCTACCTTCAATCCCTCATTCTGCCAACCAAAGTAATGTATATCACTATTGCCTTAAACATACATGATCTTTTTCTTATCCAAACTTATGTATAATTTGAAAAACTATAGGCTTTGCCGGCAAAACCATCCTTTTCATCTTCAATTGTCTTAAATGATAATTTCTTTCGACAACTAATAACTTGACAGAAGTACATAGTTGAAACCAAAATAGATTGACATATAATTACTAAACAGAGTTGGTAGATATGGAAATATTTGAGGCCAAATGGACGACTTGCGCTTTAAGGCCCTGCATGTTACACGGTGCAATTTTCAGTCTTGCAACTTGCAATGAAATTCTACTTTTGAGAGATGTATATTTGGGAAAAACGAAATTTTTGTGTTTATTACACTTTATGCACTTTTCTTCTGAAAGGCTCTTCACTAATTTACATTCTCTTAGGAGTAGAATTGCATTGGAAGTTGGAAGAAAATTGCACCGTGTAACAAGGCCTTTAGACTAATATCTTACCTCTGCGAAAAAAAAGGACATTTTCTGAAAGAGCTTACTAAAATTAGTAAAACAGGCTGCGAATTGTTGTAAATTATGGAGAATATAGCCATGCGAAGCTCACGAATTTTGTATACTTTTGTATTACGGCCGGAAGTTTGTATCTAGTTACATATTTTCTTCTAGTCACTTCGACCAATAATTAGTCTAAAGCGCAAGTCGTCCATTGTCATTAGTGCTATCAGAAAACAAAGAAAACAAAGAAAACAAAAGGCCAAGATGAAGAAAACAAAGAACTAGTGTGATGTTGTTTGGCCTCAAATATACAGTTATCTAACAACCCTGCTACTAAATAACTACTCTCAGTCAGGAGTCTAACATTAAAATTGCCACAAATTCGGAGGGAACATTCAATACTACATTCACATTTCTACCATTTACGACGTCATGTCGGCAAATTAATCATACCCTCCTTAGTCTAGTCTCACCATCTAATAGACAGATGCTGTACAGCAAACTTACTGCAAACTATTCACTATTTACTATTTACATCTTCCCGAATTTCCATGTAACTCCCCGGGACCCAGCCTTCTTGAGATGTCCTCTGTGACCTCGCATACCACCACCCGCCATCACCCACTTTGAGAACTTGCAATAGATCTCCTTGGGTAAACCCGAGCTCTGATTCCTCGTACGTTGTATAGTCCGCTATCGCCGTGTAGATTACCTCTGGCTCTTTCTCATCATTCTTTAAAGAAGTAATAATTTCTAAGTTCAGCAATAACAAACGGGTATAAACCCTAGACACGCGGCACCAACACCAATTATTTGCACTACATGAACGTCAACATTGGTACGTCTAGATCTATTGTCACGAAATTTTTCGTTCATGTAACAATTCATGTACTATATATGATTCATGCATGGAAAGCTACAATATGTGGGATTGTTGTCACTAACAGGGAAAAAATGTTGACGCTTTTGAGAAAAGACCCTATGCGTGATGGTCTGAGTAAATTAGACTTCTTCAAATGTGAATTAACATTTGCGCGATCACGATTGATTAACAGGTTGCCGTTGTGTCTTTGTTCAAATTTATATGAAAAATTTTGTATCATGTTTTCATGACATTGCATGCATAACGAAGCGATTGCCCTCCAAATCCATAGATTTCATCCCAATAATACATTATAATGATAATGATTACAAATACAAAGTACGATAGACGTTTTGAAAAGAGGTATTGGACAAAAACACATACGTTTGGTTGTTCATCCTCGTTAGACCATTCACTATCGTCAGACCACTCATCATCGTCATCATCATAATCGTCATTTTCTTCATAATTATTTTCAAGAACCTCGTATTGCTCGGTGTTGTTATTTGTGAACCTAAAAACATATGTAAGAATATGTGAGAATGAGTTAAGCATACAATGAGATTATATTACTGTTTTTAATGCCCGTGTAATGTTTGTAATTTCAATGATGAGATGTTGTGTTAAAAGAAAATGGTAACGGCGGAATTCTTGCTGATAACGTTTTATTGTAGATTATAACGCAGTTGTAGGCTTTTGTATATATCACTGAAATACATTTTTACGTTTTTGCATTTTTTCTTGAAATGAAGTTTACTTTGAAAAACATACCCAGGCGACACGATTTGAGTAATAGGCTGCTGTGAATCGGTTGGTATGGCACTCGTTGAGTGAGATCTGGATTCTAGGGAGATAAATTCAAATTAATACAATTATAGATATAACAGTAAAAATTATGTTAATCGTTGGTATAAAACTGGATTGATAACGTTATGTTTTAGGTTTATTATTCAACAAAGCTGTCCTGTACGAAAACAACATTATATGCATGTGGTCCGGGGTGTTTGGTGTTTTTAACCGTAACTGTTTTGACTGATGCCCGGCGGATAAAAGATGCTTTGGTATTTATCGTAAATATTTCAAGAGCTATTGTTCTCATACGTGGAAGATGGAATTAGAAAATTTCATCTACCATATACAAGGGAATCACCCGGGACGTGACGATAGGAAATGAAGTTGAAAAAAAGATAGAGGTATTCGGAAATAAAGTTAACAGAAAATAGAGGTCCATAGGTGTTGGATGGATAGCCCATGCATTGATTACATTGATCCTATAGTTACAGTTATACCTTTAACTTTTGAGAACTGAGACTGCAACAATCTTCTGATTTCTTGCACCCAACATTTTTTCACATCCTCGGATGGAGCCTATAGAACGATTCAAAGTGGCGACTTCATAACTATATCACCGTATATTCTTACAATACATACTATATATTCGTATGAACGATACTGTACATGTCATGCATACAAACCTGTAATGTATAAAATTCTGATTTGTTTTGCAACCACAGCCCAAACTTCAGAGGATCTTCTTTGACAGTCTCAGTGAGGCCAATATCAATCAACTAATGTTTTGGAAAGAATTCATAAAATGAACTTGAGAAGAACGATACATGCAGGTTCACGTTCATATTTTCTGAGTTTCTTCATTCATGAAAGTTTTTCCAGAAGTTCTTTTCACGGCCTTGAAATGATTGCATTATCTCGCCAGTATTAAAAATACCAAAAAACGACGCCCGATGCAAAATTATACAGTTTTTAACTACCTGAACGCTGTAAAGTTTTTAACTACCTAAACACTGTACGGTCTTAGTAAATACATACGAGTAAAGAACCGAAGGGTTCGGAATTCGTAACAAGGGAAGTTTCTTTGGGGGGGGGGGCATAGCTTTGCAGAGCGCACACTTTTCCACACGGCGTGGCGAGGTTCTCACCATACTACTTATAATCTGTCGTACAAATCCTGGTTGGAAAAATCTTGACATCTAAGGCGATCATTTTATCTTACCTTCAGGGATATTTTACACTGATAGTACACGGTATCCTTCGCTGCCTCGTCGTCGCGTTTCGTAAACACAACCATCTTTTCGTAAAGAAATATCTGCCTTGGTTTTCCTTTGAAATGTGCTATATTCACATTGATGACATGCTTTCTGTTTGACTGCCACACGACAAAACTATCCTGCATCAAAAGCTTGCCTTGATCACTCAAGCTGCCGAGGAATCCGCGAATATATGTCGAATGCATGACGTCATTTAAGTTCTTTAAAACTTTCATCATACCCTGAAGGGCGTTCTCTAAACTCGTAAGGCTTTCTTGTGAATTTTGAGAATATTTAATCAATTGTTTTAAGATCAACTGGTATTTAGTAATTCTTTGTATAGGCTTTAGGAGGTAAGAGTGTAACGGCAACTGATGTCCGAGTTTCTGCTGGCATTCCTGAAAGAACGGTACATCAGCACACTCTTTTCTTAAAGCCTCGGAGCTTGGTTTGTTCTTACAATACGACGCGTACATTTGAAACTCGTTTTCTTTGGCCATAAACACTTGCCCAACAAGCAGAGGTTGATCCAAGCAGATCTCCAACTCCCGGAGGAATATATCTCGATGGAACACATAGATCTCTTTAATATTACCAAATATAATGCCTTTCTTTCCACGAAGTTCGCGAGGCAGATTAGGACTCCCATCTTGATATTCCTTCATGTAACCTTCAACCACACACTGGAGGTCATTTACGTAAACCCTTTCCGTTTCCACGAGCTCGTTCATAACCTGTAATGATCGCCAAGTTATTTGGATGGTACACAACAGTACTTTAATATTTATAGGATGAATTGTACTGGTCTGAATAACGAGCACTAAGAATACATATCATGCTATGCTAATATTTTGGTGTTCGTTGACTGTGAAAACAATGAATTTCTAAAGAAATAAATAATGATAATAACCTAAAATTTGCATAGCGGAACTAAATCGTCAGGCTACGCCACTGGAAGTAATTACTGGAAAAATAACAGTGAATGATTTTTGTAAGATATATTAAAATGTGGCAAACAATGAAAAGAAAATTTTAATGTTAATTGAACAGTTAATTGAACAGAATTTTATTTGGCATCCATTTTGGACGCATTTTTCATGTGTTTGTTCAAATATACATTTCTCAGCTAGCTCACGTTAACATTAATAGCTTACCTGAACCCTTTTCTTTAAAACTGCTTCGTCATCTTCGACATCGATGTTGTTGGATGTGCGGGGACTGTTGAGAGAACTAGAACGTGGACGTTCTTCGGTTTGTGTCAGGGCAGAGAGATTCGGACTTCCAGAGTCAGGAGTAATGACGATAGATATTGGCCGTCTTTGATTCGTCGGGCTTGCTAATTTAGGACTTTTGTTATCTAAGAATAATTAATGTAGCTAAAAATACATTACATGTAATGTATGTAAAGAAAAGAAATGCAACTGCATGCATCATCGGACTAATCACTAAAAACAAGTATTGATAAACTATAAAGAATGTCTGAAGCCCCTAACTGTTACATGGTGCAGATTTTCTTGCAACTTGTAATGCAATTCTACTTTTGAGAGATGTAAATTTGGCAAGTACGAAACTTTTATGTTTATTACACTCCATGTACGTTTCTTACACTTACTTTTTGAATACCTTGCGCTAATTTACATCTGTTAAAAGTAGAATTGCATTGCAAGCCTTAAGAACCAAGAATAGTGACCTTCCTCTAGTGCGCCATTCACCGTTTCACCATGTTCCCTCTAATATTCCTATACGACTGCTCAAAAGGCAAAATTTCTAAACTCAACTTATGAGTACTACCTATTATACTACAGCTAGGTTAGTACACTTATATATACTTTTATATTCCTTTACAAACGTATTTAACGAACCTTTCTTTAGATGAAGTAAAGGACTCGTGCCTTCTTTTTTCTTTGGTTGTAAAGGGAGTTTTAATTGTGGACTGGTTTGAACAGACGGAGGTGGTACTGGAGCTACCTGCTGAACTGGTCGCTTAGTAACCATCTTTTTAAAGCTGAAAAAGGCATATGCATGAAAAGCATTAGAAAAAAGTCAGTTCTGGCCTAAATCATCCTATAATTATTTTCTGAAAGATTCAATTACTACAATGGAGCTTAAAACTCAAATCCTAAGTTGAATAATTATCCCAAGATAGATTATCAAAAAAAAGAGATTGAGAAAATAAAATGCATAAGTAAAATAAACGTGCTTGTCTCGAAGAAGTTAAATCTTTCAAAACGATTTTTCGGCGATTGCCTGTTAGGGAGCCCTGCCAAATTTGCGCAAGATTCACTGTTTATTCACGAGAAACAAGCGAACGGTCATATGCATCTTAATAGCATAGGCAGACTAAATACAACTAACCTTGCTTCCCTGTTACTCATCATCTCGGTGACTTCGCTGATACGCTTTAAAGCCATCCTAACTTGCTCTAATAACACCTCATCCCCAAGTTCTTTCGCTGTCTTTTCCATTCTGTTAAGTTTTCCCAAGTTCACACCTTGAGGTTTCTTCAAAAATTCATCGATTTCCTTCAATGCCTTTTCCGCTCCTTCGGTTGATTGAAATCTGTCCAGTGGCTGCGAAGCCAGAATATCCACTCCTGCGTTACACCACGTGCCTACCTAAAAATAGGTAAACATTTTTCTACCAAAACCTGTATGCATTGAAAATTTAGATGGAAAGAAAGTGACGATACGGTGATTCAACAGAATGATTGACAGATTTCATCGACAGGCGATTGACTTTTCGAAGCATATGGACGAATTATATTACTAGAGCTGCTGAATATTAATAGCAACCCAATAAAACGATAAAGACAGTAAGCAGTTGCAAAATAAATAGACCTAAGCAAAAGCAGAAACGACTCATTCCTTATATGGAAAGAATGAACAACTTTGCAGAATCAACCAAGATGGCTGTAATAACTGCAAACGAAGAATTATAATACTAAACGCAGTGGGAAAGAAGCTTCGTGGTGTAATAACGTATTTTACACCAACCTGATGTAGAGATTCATGTACTTCAATTGATTTATCCAAATTTTGTTTTCGCTGCTCTAGTTTCTTATTCAAATCTTTATTTAGGTCTTCAAGTTCGGTACATTTTTCCCTAATAGACTGTGAGTAGTGGTGATTATTTTTAATCATCTCTTCGCCTCTTTCACACAACTCTGTCAGCTTTGAGACTGCGTCCTGAAAATAGTAGAAAAGAGGCGAAAATAAAGTTGGTTTTTTTTTACAATATACAAAAACTCCCTATAACATTAGAACCACACTGAAATAAATATGATTTAAAACTGCCTGAAATGAGTTGTATCATTGTGGTAGTTCTTTCGTCGATAAACAATGTTTAAGTTTTTTTAACATGCATCTTATCAATCCATAGTTTTCAGTATATTTAGTAAAAGCACGCGCCGAAAAATGGCAATCACCTTGGTCTCTTCTTTAAAATTATCCGTATCTTTCTTCAGTTTAGCCGCGGATGAAGCTGAATCACCAAGTTCCTTCATGTTTGACAGATTATCGTGCGTATCCATTAACAGATTTTTAACCTAAATAATCCAACAATATGCCCATGCATCAAGTTACCGCGGTACCTGTTAGCTATAGATGAATCTACGGAAAATTACTTAGGGTCTTTTCTTTAGATATAAGTTAAAATAACTACTATCTATTGATTTGTACATATATGATTTCAAGGGAAGAAAAGGAGGACAAGGGGAAAAACGTATAGAAGGGACATTCATAACGAAAATCTTTTAAAAGAATATCTTATTTAAGAGGTAATAGAAGTAATATGTTTGATTGCACTTGTTGTGGAGGATCGCATGCAGACTCCCTCGGTGGAGGGTTCGTTTTGCGACCCTTCGCCACTTGCGCAAAAAATCACACGCACTCGCCAACCATGTCGTAATTTGTATTTAATAACTGCGTTTCTCCCTTTTTACTTAATAGTCTTCACGTTACCTAGAATCATATTAGGACAAATTTAAGCTATACCAAAAATAAGTACGTTTGTTACTTACATCTAAAAATTCTCTTTTAAAGAATGTAAACTGCAATGATTGAAGAACACAACTCTGGTGGTTTTCCCAGACTTTCTCAAATTTGTCTCTTACTCGAGATATTTTCTCTACCAATGCTTGAAGGTCTTGCACACTTGTTTCGGAAATTGGTAATAAGGAAAACGTTTGCTTGTCAGGAGAATCCGCACCCTGAGAAAATTCAACCAAAGTATATTTAGATAATTTAGTTACGTTCTTTTCGGGTCATGGGAATGTAAGCAGAGGCGTAGCCAGGATTTTTTGGGGGGGAGGAGTGCAGCAAGAAGCTACGAAAAGGGGCTTCGCTTACAATAGGTAATTTGCGACGATGAAACTTATTCGAATTGCAAGAAATCTCTGTTCCAGAGTGTATTATAGTGAATCTCAACACGGCCGTGCTGATGAGTGTGGGGAATGCGACCCTCGTTACTTTTCGCAAAAACAGTGCAGGTGAATTGATAAAGTTTGATTGATGAGGTAGATAAAGTTTTTCTAAGTCGGATTGGTAAAGCTTTTAGATTTGGTAACGAAAGTGACTGGAAATCTTCAAACCCATTTTATCGAACATAGCAAAACAGTACGCATATGAGTCCTAGCCACCCCGATTGAGCAAGAGCTTTATTTTGAGCATTTTCTCAAAACAGGTAGAGGATTTGATTAATACTTTGTCCGATAGTAATTTCTGAACAGTGTTATTGAGCTTATAAAAGTTGAAATGAGGGCAGGTGGTGTCAGTAATTTGCCTAAGAATAGGGAGCCAGCTTTGAATCGTTTCTAAATACTACTACCTATTTTAAATGCAACATCTTAGGGTGAATTCTTTTCGACAGTCCCTTTTTCATTGGGATTCATAAAGTATTTAAGATTTGAGAGATCTCCTACCTTCATGCATTTAAGTTGGGTGTTTCCAATCATCTGAGCATTGTTTATATCATCTCTAACATCAAACCACATCTGACCATGAACATCTAAAACATGCTCAGTTTCCTGACTGTCCGAGACGGATAGGTCTGTTTTATCAAATATTTGTTTCAAAGTTACAAGACGAGATGCGATTGAGCGGCAGGTCTCACCAAATCTATCAATTGCCTAAATCAAATAGATGTACATTAAACGTATTAATGCGATTTCGTCACAAATAAGCAGCAAAGACGTTGTAAATAATATTTCTTTAAACGCGAAACTGACCATTACCAAATTATGATATTTAAAAACTTATCTTCCTATAGGAAAGTCACCGTGGAGTTAAAATAAAGAGGAGAAAATAAAGGTTGTAGTTGACTCCCGCGCTTGATATTATAACCTCATATTAATACAGCAGTATAACATAATAGCATGTGGGAGAGGCAATTAGTGTGCATGTTCATCCTACTGAATGGAAACCAGGCTTAAGAGTGACACATTTAACGGTTTCCATTTTGTCAATAGTAATTGTCGTGAATAAGCGCCGATGTAAATTTGCCTTTTAAATCGGTCATTGTTTCCAGCACACACATAGAAATATTCTATAGGCCCGTTTACACTTGCAATTTTTGGTGCATTTTTTGCTCAGTGCGATTTTCCTCATTTGATTGATGTTATTGAGTAACTAGTTACCATTGCTCTGATGTATGATAGCTCTTATCTGAGCATCCGCAACTAACTCAACTAATTCACATCTAGAAGAAAATCGCACATAGAATCGTACCTTTTTAGAGAATACTTTTTCCATCATAATTATTACATGATTCCTATTTCCTTAATTGTAATTAATTTAATAAATGATGTCTTACAGTTCTGTGCTGAACCCACTCTTGATGATCGTAGTTTAACGTTCCGCCAAGACATGGTGTCAACTGATTCTTATCCACGTGTTCGTACAGACTACTGACGTCATCTAAAATTTTAACCTGAAAATACAACAATATGATATCATCAATGACGGTACGGTGCATGACCTCCCCATTCCCATGCAAACATGGGAGCGTACCAACTTAATTGAATAGGTAATCCTACTAAACAAATTCATTTATTTATCCCGAAGTCAATACTTTAGTTCACTACTTTAGTACAGTTTAGCTGTCTACTTCACAAAAATGCAAATTTGGCCGCGCAAGTTCTCACGCAATATTCCATGCAAATTTCGTAATGTAATACGGAAAATTCAAAAGAAAACATAATTGTCCGTCATAATTGCATTGAAAACGGATCTAATATCGCTAGTAAAACGAGGAAGATATTTGGAGAAGGTTAACAAGCCAGTATAAGTGTTTGAAAAATAAATTAGGGCCATTTATACGAGCGAAAATAAGCTGCGGTCTAACTAAATAAGTCGCGGATTAAATACGTCGCGAACAGTGCGTTTATACGGGATAGTGTTAAAATTATACGAAATTGTTATTATTATTATTATTAAATTATTAAACTTTATTTACACACGGTATTCTCAATCAGGATTTTCATGCTGACAAATGACAAGATTATGAATTACAAAATAAGACTACAAAAATATTTACAATGATAAATCAAACTAATAATTAATATACCTGCTTTTCATGAGAGCCGTGTAAGGAATATATACAAGAAATATAATATAATACAAATGTGAATGTAGATTAAAATAATTTGGAACAGCCCGCTTTAAAATTTAATAGGTTATTTGCTAGCCGTAGCCCAATCGGTAGGCTGTTCCATAGCATCGCACCACTATAACTAAAACTATTCTTGAGATAGTTTGTGCGAGGCTTAGGAACAGCCAGCTTACTATTTGTGTTTCTCAACGAATAAGGATTGACACTGTCACGGTTTACAAACATGGAACCCATGTATTGTGGAGCAAGTCCATTGAGTGATTTATAAACCATGACAGCCTTTTGAAACTGGCGTTGGGAAGATAACTTTTTCCAGCCAAGTCTATCGAGTAAGATGTCGGCATTAGTGTCATAGCTTGAAAAGGTCAAAACTCTCGCTGCGCGATTTTGTAGTTTTTGAAGTTTATCTGCCAAGGTTTTATTGCAATTGTCCCAAACTGTACAGCAATAATTGAAATATGGCTGGACAAGGGAATTAAAAATTAAATACAATGTTGCAACTGGGACAAATGAACGAACGAGTTTTAAAGCGCCAATACCAGAAGCAATTTTTTTTGTTAATTCCTTGATCTGTATATTCCAAGATAGATTTTCATCAAGGTGAACTCCTAGAGATTTTGTATGTGAAACCTTGTCTATAGGAATTCCGTCTATTTTAAAACATGGGTCTGATTGGAAAGTAGCTATTCTTTGTCGTGAGCCAATTAGCATAAATTCAGTTTTGGATTGATTCAATGTAAGCCTATTGGCGATAAGCCATTTATTAACATTTTCAAGATCTTGATTAAAGTAATAATCTATATCTTCAATTTTATTGCTTGCAAATGTTAAATTGGTGTCGTCTGCATACATTCGTGCTTGGGAGTGCTCAAGACAATTTGGCAAGTCATTTATATACAATAAAAATAGCAATGGTCCCAAAATAGTTCCCTGTGGAATACCACAAAGTAACGTACGGTTGGTAGAAAGATGGCCATTGACATAACATTTTTGACTGCGGTTACTTAAATAAGACCTAAACCAGTTAGCCACAGCACCCCCAAGACCATATGCTGACAGTTTTGACAACAAAATTCCATGGTCAACTGTATCAAAGGCTTTCTTAAGATCTAGGAAAACGACAGCATTGACCAGTCCTTGGTCAATATTGTAGGCCCAGCTATTAGTATATTCTAGAAGTGCAGTAACAGTTGAATGCAAACGTCGAAATCCAGACTGGCTATTACATAGTAAATTGTTCTCAGTAAGAAAACCGTAAATTTGATCATAAATAATTCGTTCGAAAACTTTCGCCACAACCGGTATTATCGAAATTGGGCGATAATTATTTAAGTCTCTACGCTCGCCCTGTTTGAATAATGGAATGACTTTTGAGCATTTCCATTCTTCAGGAAGATACCGGTAATAATAGAGCAGTTAAAAATTACGGCAAGGGATTCCGAAAGCAAGTCAGGACAATGACGAAGAAGCTTGGCAGATATTTTGTCTAGCCCAATTGCTTTGGACTTACAAAGTTTGTTAAGAAGCGAATAAACTGATGATGGGGTTATTGACTTAAACTCTATATTATTGTTACTATTGTGGCAAGTAAGATATTCTAAATACGAGCGATTGTTTTCTTCGTCAGGTATTTTTTCCTTAAGCTTAGGTCCAATAGTAGCAAAATGAGTATTAAACGTCTCAGATAGGTCCGAGGGGTCAGTTATAGAAACCCCGTTTATTTTGATTTCATTTACTCGTGAACTCATCTGTTTTCTTGAGGTCAATTCATTGATGATACCCCAAGTTTTTTTAACATTATTCTCGTTTTCATGAAAAGCGTTCATATAATAGGTTTTCTTAACAAGTTTAATTTCATTGTTTACAGAATTTCGAGCTTTCTTAAAAACAGTCCAATCACAAATATCTTTGGATCGAATAGCTTTTATTTTCAAAACATCTCTTTCATGCATTTGCCTTTTTAATTCAGGCGTGATCCACGGCGCCTTAGAAGATCTTACTCGCCTAGTTCGTAAAGGGGCATGCTTTTCCACTACGTTGTCAAAGTTCGCGAACACTCGTATAAACGACTCAAATTCGCAGTCGCAAGTCCCTGCCACCGAGACGAGCTCTGAAGCCTCGGCTTAAGCCTGGTTTTCATTATGTCGTAACTCATCGGCGATGGCTATTGTCGGTGGCCAGTGATGCATGCATCGTAAGACAATTTTTTAAAGATCTATATCGATAAGCGTAATTGTCCATACTCACCTCAAAGCTATGTGCCAAACTTGACTTAAAACTACTTTCAGAGTACTTTTGGAAAAATCCTTGGGGTTTAATGACATACACATTTTGAATTGTAGCGGTGAAGAGAATCTAAATGGTAAAAAATGTTCTTAGCTATCGCTGCATGCACACAGTATGTTGGCATAGTCTAAAACGCGGAATGGAACACTGACTGGACCATCTGGAATATCTGGAATATCTGAATTATCTGAAATACTGAATTTTTTTCATTTTTTATTCCTAATTTGCAATACTTCAAGTGCATGGCGTAGCCAGCCTGACAATTTATGTCTATGTAAATTTCAAGTTATTATAATTATTCATGTCTTTAGAAATGTATTGTTTTCACAGTCTGAGGACACCAAAATATTAGCATAGCGGGACAAATCGACAGGCTGGCTACGCTACTGAATACCTCTAGCCTGATTAGTCGTATAGCGGTATTCGTATTTACGTACGTATGTGTAATGTAGCGACGTAAATGCATGAATGTTTTTGAATGTGCATGGCGATAGTGAGGAAAGAACAGTGCAGGATTCTTTTATTATAATGATGGAAACTTTGACAATGGCGAACGCCGAACGAATTTGGAATAGTGAATTGTTTGGAAGTGCGTATTAAATTCAAGTTCCATCTTGAATTTAATTAATACTCGCTTACAAATTCGTCCAGCAAGGGGGAATTTCGTTTTCATTTTTTTTTTACATTTTTAGGCAAAGCCAATCACAATGCCTAAATTTTAAATACTTCATGTAAAATGGTATATAATGTATCTTTTTACCAGTTAATTCGTCATTCGTCATGATAAAAGAATCCTTGACTGTTCCTCCCTCACTATCGCCATGTACATGCATTCAAAAACATTCAAGCAATTACGTCGCTGCATTATACATACGTACGTACGTTGTTTTCAATCTACTTCAATTCGCCCACTAGTTCGTTCGTGATCAGCTCTTGTCTTGCGATCGAATTCGATTTAAACTATATAGACATTGTCTCTGACACACGAACTGCTTTGTGGGCAAATCTAGATCTATATTGCCTCTTTTCTGATCTATATTGCTAGCTATTTGAAGATAAAACTCTTTTTCTTCATAATTATAACGATAAACCCTTTCCTCTTATAGCTAGCCCATATCTCGTACCGATCAAATCGGTACATCTACGTCTGGAAATCATCGTAGGAAACCTTTTAATAAACCAATTCTCTCTTTTTCTTTGAAAAAGCCTATTATGCATCTCTCGATGTGTATGGAATGCGCAATTAGAAAATACTGTACTGTTAATGTTGCTCTTACTAATCTTTCTTAATAATCTTTGCCCTTATTAATCAGCTCACGTCAATATGATGACGATGCATGGAACGGTTGTACGGAGATTGGATGGTAACTTTTCAGCCGTTATAAAAATGCCTTAAGGTGGCTCCCTACAGTTGTAGCTTGAAATAGTACACGCAACACGCGTGGCTGATGTTGCACGCGGGGCGGGTTTTTTAAAATTGCGCGAACAACTTCCGATAAACATTTGATAAACACGCGCGGGCCTTCGCGGGATGTCGACTGGTCGCGCGAAGAAATTGAAATCCTGATTTTTGTGACGTCATACATAAAAATAAATGTATTTTTCTCGTTTTTCCTTCGGTAAATTCTTTTCAAACTTTACACAGTTTTCTGTATTCTTGAAATGCGTAAAATGTGCAAGTTTTAAGAAAATCGTGCGAGCCGAATTTTTTTAAATTAAAAAACTTTTTTGAGGATTTAAAAAAAGTGCTCGTACGATTTTTTTTAAATGCTAACATTAGAAAGAATTATGGATAAGATTACTGCGTGGAAAAAATTAAAAAGTTTTACCGAAGAAATTTCAAAAAATTATCTCAGAATCTGCAAATTGGCCCTTTTTAAAATCATTATGTTACCATGGCAACGAGGATATTTTACGAAATTTTATATATTTCGTAACTTGCGATATCATAGCAGTTATGTGGCCAAGTTTCGTGATCATACTTTGTAAGATGATAAAATAATGGTCTTTCGAACACAATTGCGCATTACACAATCAAAACTGTAGGGAGCCACCTTAAGACAACAGATTTGACGATACAAATTATTAAAGAAAGTCCCCAAATTAAAATACTAACGTTAAATGAAGGTGATACCAAACAAGGGCAAATACAAGGGTGATTCTCACCTGCAACCTACTCAAAACAAGTTTTACAGAAGCCCATTTCTCGGAACGGCGATCCACTATAGCTGTAAATCCTTTCTTTCTTTCGTCTGGTCTGTAAATGAACGAACAAACGATATTATCAAATAATACAGGAAACGGACTCCCGAGAGCCATTTGCTCTGCATGATGCATGACTACCATGAACATGCAAATGAATAAATTATCCCCGTTATTTCTGGTTATGTATGCCTCTATTTGGTAACTGAAATTTCATCTTCAAACATAAACTAAAACCTAAACATCTGCCATGCTTTAGCCAACACCGGTTGCATATGTTTTCCCATACACACCTCACTGACAGCTATCACTATTTCTATATACCTACTTACTAGTGGAAATGTTAGGTTTTTGATACATTTTAGCTACTACAAGCATTTTTAGTCAGCAGCCGTTACATAAATTTGAAATCATGTATCCTATAAAGATAATTTAATGATCTTGTAGACGATATCTTGAAACAGAATTAGTTCAAGGATAAATCAGGAAAAAACAACGTATTAAAGAGATTAGCCTAGACGCTTTATATTGAAACAAGAAATCGAAAAAAGAGGGTTGTGTGTTTTACCTAAATCTTTGGACCAAATAATGAAAGATTTTCTCAATGTCGGTGTCATTGATGTGCTCAAATACATTGTTAGGTGGAAAGATGATGAGCGGAGATCCAGATTTGTCCACGCCACCTGTCAAAACATAAAGTATTAGAAAAATCAACATGCATGTGAACGTGAATATTTAAACTTTCAATATGGACCTTTATAAGAAGCCTGCACTGTGACGCAGTTCGCAGAACTGTTTTTTTTGACGCACAAATATAAGAAATGTAAGAAATATAAGAAATGTACCTGAGACATAAACTGACTTTGTTTGCAACAATTGGGCAACATCGATTGTCTTTAGTTTAGGAAAGCCAACATCACCTGCAGCGTAAAATTTATCGAAATGCTTTTAAAACGTTCAGTTTATCACTACATAAATTATTATGTAAAACAGGCCTTAATAGCAGCTAGTACATCCAAATACATATAGGATCCGTATAATATCCATGTACAACTGGTCAAAAGTAGATATTGTATGCATGAGTTTGGGATGGTACATACATAAACGCAGGGGTCTGAAGAGGTGAAGCTGAATGCATGTAGCCTCCTATATATTTTTTAGAAAGAATTGTTGATAATATCGTACTCGCGAATGGGGCAATTTTTGCTGAAATAGTGTAGATTAATACGAATTGCGTAGAATGTTTTTGCGTGAATTGCGTAGATGCTCGAGAGGAAGCTGCTTACATAACCTTTGAACATTTATAAGAGTACAGGCAAAAAAAATTTGTACTTTCTCAGGGTTGAAAAGCAATTTTGTGCCACGATTATAAATTAATATAATGAAAATGAAATTGAATGTTTCTGTACAGCTGCCCTAATCACGTTTTCACCTTTTCATCGAAATGATTTAGTGCGTGAACCTACTCTGACATCTGTTGACGATGTTTGGTGCATATATATATATATATATATATATATATATATATATATATATATATATATATATATATATAGACGTGACTTATATATATAATAACGCCTACAAAAATTTTATATAAAATATAATTCTTGATCTTAATTCGCACAAGCGAGTTCCCCCGCCATTAAAAATCTCGCTATCAATATTAGCACTGATATATGTTTATGCTTTTATAATACGAATATACATGACATGAGGGAGTTAGAAACAAGCATGTCTTGCAACATGTAGCTACGTAGCGGTGTAGATCGGAGCATTGCAGATAATTTCTTTCACGTCAATGAAAGAGCTAAAGGTTGATTTCCGGAACTTGTGAATGGAGCTAGGGCGTTTCAGGACATTTATACAATAGCCTTTGTTGTCACGAGATTTTGTACGGATGTCATTGTGCCAGAATAATATGTGTTCCTATATTAGTATATATATGCAAATTCGTTCGCTTGATCAATACCGAGATTAGAACAATAGTTGAAAGATCTGATGTTTGTAAACGCGTGTTGATGTTCTGCGCACATGCAAGTATGACCATGCAGCATTATTCTGTATGACTTTTCATATATATAGCATTTACTTCCCGGGAATTATGATATAGAATTACCTAAGGATTATGGAGGGCGGTGTTTATAGATTAAGAATTAGATCTTGGCCTAAAGTAGATCAAGAGGGGATTATAAGAGTTTAAGCTGGTACTTAACTGAGGTTTTTAAAATACAGGCATAGGCTTGACTCCGAAAAACACAACTGACAAAACATTTATTTAACACTTGATCTGCGGGCCCCAGGCGATTTTATGAATGATATGAACTTAAACAACAGGGTATACGAGCATGCAATTTCAACCGACGCTTTAATAGTGATATATAGATTGCCTGTGCAGGCATGTTGCGAAAACCTCCCAAAACTTCGATGCAGAATTTAGAAGTTTCAATTGCACCTGCGAAACGACGATGGGCTCACATCGATGTCCGTGTTGTGAACGTTATATATTCCTTTACAGGCCGGTTTCGAATTTCACACGACGTACTGGAAAGTGTGTTTCATGTCACGGAAGTCAGTGGGAGGTTAAAAGATTTTTTGTACCTCGCGCGGTAAAAATAATGTGAATGTCGTGTCATCACGATCCATTTAATGAAGTTTCTAAGCGTCTGGCATAACTGCCAGCTGTGTTAGACGTTTATCAACCTACGCTTGAAACATGAGAGAGAGTACGCTTTTTCTCCCAGAGAATATTTAGTTTCTCGTTTACTTATTTGTTACGGGTCAATATGTCGGATATTTTCAGCCCAACCAATAATATACAATCCCGTATAAAAAAGGAACCATTTTTCACGGGCAGAGAATTAAATACACTTAGTCGTTGTTTAATTTTTACTGAAATCAATACAAACTTCCATGAAATGACCGAAATCGCATGGAAGCTAGCTAGCCCTGCGAGTAAAAAAATACATTTTACATTGCAATGACAATGTTTTGATAATGTTGGTTCAAGAAAAAGTAGGCATTAATTTCCTGTTTGACATATATTTGCGACCTACTCACATGTCCCCTTGTATATATATGGCGCTGGAGGGCACGAGACTATGTAGTTACACAGAGTCGGCTGAGTCGCCAAAATATATACCTTTTATTGTTATCAAATTTCGTTTCAACGACTTCACTTATATCTCAAAGCCCCCATGTTCCAATGTCTATATATATGTATTATGAATGCGCATATTTTAGCGTGGAGAAAAAAACAGCTGCTGGATCTAGAGAACTATTATAACAATCGCTAAAACGCTGATTTACATAAACACATTCATTGGACCTTAGCTACGCGAACATGCTGCAATTGTCGTACTTGCTTGGGTACAGAATATCGTGCTTGCACGTTATATCGTGTTACTACAAGGAGGTATAAATGTATATATGTCTGCCTGTCCAAAGCAAGAAGATAAATTGAGCCTGCATGCGGTTTCATACATAGGTTATTCAAAATTAAAAGCTTCCCAGCTGACATGCTGTGGTAAGGCGACTATACTCATGGGGATTAAGAATTACATCCATCCAAAAGTAAACAAACCAAACAACCGCCAAATAAGCCGAATTGGGCAATCCACGCGAATGCAAACGTGGGATATTTTACCGTCCTATAAAAGGCTGTAAATATTGCATCTTGTAAATGTGCTGCTATAAAAGTCATCGAGACTTTTTTTTATAAATTTTAGTGTTTATATATATGAATATATATATAAATACAAGCCACACACATACCCCTTGCCACAGTTCGACAAGGTTATTTACTGAGAATTTCAACTTGAAATTCATCAGCACAACTCGAATCTCGGGTCTATTGCAAGCAGAATATCGGCTGAAATTCGCTCGCTTTCTTTATATTTTAAATCACAGGAAAGTCGGGAGTGTGTACGATAAAGTGCTGTCAGACTAAGACTATGTGGCTATTCAAAACAACATTGTTGGGCGAGTAACGGCTAGTCATAACTGGGAACGCGCTGTACAGTAGCACACATAATGTGTATGCATGCACGTACCTTCCCCTACAAAACCTTCCCATATCCATTTGTCATCGTCTTTATTACCACACTCATCCAAGAAGGCAGTCGAGGTATCCTGCTCATCCATAACGACAATTGTAAAAGTACAACATTATCCTCTCATCCACACATATTCACACGATCGAAGACATGATGAAAATCCTTTGAGGACATCGTTTAATTACCACGACCAAAACATACGGGCCAAAACATACACGAGATGCTATTTGCTTCTGATATCGCGACACTTAAAAGCCAATGTCAAGCGACCGAAATTTAACTTCCCTTGTGGCAGAATTTAAAATCTCCTTAACTCAAAGAAATTTGCATACTTAATACGTGTTACGCGTTGTCCTGTCAACCTGTGTCCGCTTAAACAAAATAGGAAACTGACGTTACGCTTGCAGGTATATCTACATGCAGTCAAACATCGTTCGGTTATTGACTTATTGGGATGTTATTTAAGACTGGACTTGTTGTAATTACAAATTGACAGACATTCAACAAAAATTTTGCAGGTCAAAGGAAAGAATTGACCCTTAATGCCTTAATCATAGACTTTGCATTTATACCATGCACGCATCAATTGCGAGCCAAATCCAGTCAAAACTGCCGGAGCGTAGGCGTATCGTCTCGCTTTAATTTTAATCAGTTTTAATGCAGCTCTGCATTCGAATGGAATGAAATTGAACGGTGATGGTGATGTACAATAAGTCACTATCTATCTATACAACTATTTATACACATTGCGACAAGTATAACTTGAACTGACTGACTTAGTTCCCGAATTGACCTATTGAGAGCTGACGAGCAACCGGCAACGATTTAAATTGTGCGCATTTTCTGTCGTCAGTTTGCCATAAAACTTCTAGATTTTCATACCCAAAGGAAAGCAATTAAACCGGCTGCTTTCACTGATCTTATAGGACACACATATATATGAGACAAATATAATTCATATCAATTGATCTCAATCATATATCATTAAAATTATAATAAAAATCGTGTATGTTGCTGAATTTGATCGCTTTTCTATTGTTCTTAGAAGGGTTGAAACATCACTATCCGCTGGATAGCGCTATTCGGCTTCCATCAACCGGCTCCTGTAAAATAGCTTTATTATTTGTTTCGTCAGCTGTTTTTTTTTTACTTTATTTTCTTTTAAAATGAGATATTATGGGTCATGAATTACCACACATCTCACTAATTAAGCTAGAGGGTAATAAATATTTCTGATACATTGGAGAAATAATGTATACTAATCTTGATCACGATTAATAATGGTGTTTTAATAATGGTAACGGATAATGGTGCTTTCTTCTTCCATGGGTGGGGAGGCTCGATTTTAGTTGTTTCCAGTGACCTTCTATTTCGCTCGTATGGTCTCCGTGTTAATCCCAATGGTAGAACGAAACGATTAACTCTTAGCAATAACCAATGAGACAACACTTGGGTTGAACGGTGCGCAGACAAATCGAACTCGACAGAATTTGAGTATCGAACAAGTAAAATATTATAACTTTAATCCAAACGTTCGTGGGTTTGATAGACGTGAATTGACACAGAATTGTGGCAATTGTTAATCGTGGAAATCGGTTCGAACTAAATAACGTGACAATGCAAAAAATATCTAGTACTTAATAATAACACAATAACTCATTGTTCGTGCAGTATCATAAAAAACATGCGACTATATGAATAGAAGTAAATCTATCGAATACACTATAAATTAAGTCTAAATCTGTACGTGGTAAATCATTTGACCAGTTCAGAATACCAAATTAAAACGCAAACTACGAGTAACCTAACTAACAAACAATTGTACTAGTACTGAAGAAAGATCAATATGTACTTACTTTGGTTTCCACGCGCACCGACGTTGACTTTATTGCTTTCGTGTAGAACGTGAAACCGAAACAAGTACACAAACGAACGTGGATAGAAATTCTAAATTACACTAAATCCACCGACATAAATTTTGATGTCCTCTTACTAGGAGTAACACGTTGAATAGTGCCTTGATCTTCCTTGAGTCACGCAATTTTACTATTATCTACTGCCCGCAGGCATTTAATTTTACGAGCATGCTGATTGATATTAAGCGTTAGATAGCGTGGCGTCAAGGTGTTAGGACTAAACTTGCCTACAAGTAGGTGTTTCAAAACTAACACTCCGTATTCGTTCAACAAACTCAACAGAATGATTGACGGTTTCGTGGATATAGCCATATTCAGTCTGAAGATTGATATAGCCTTTCCAGCAGTCAGAAATTATTATACTTCCTGGCTTTATCCATTTTTGTATTATTGGAATCAGAATTTTCTCGGATCGATCTTCTACTACTGCAAGAAAAAATTTGCGCGAGTCTTCTTCTATGCCACTGAAAACCCACTGGCCTTCGACGACGTGACCCCTCTGATATTCTCTTTTGCCCACATTTGTTTCATCAATACGTACGCGTTTTCCTTCGCCTTCAATTTGGTGGCTTTCTCTTAACAGGGTGACTTCGCAAATCTCTCTACAGAATATATACACCAGCGTCCAGTTGTTCAAAAGCCGGTTAGCTTAGCGCTGGGTTAAAGCAAATCTTTACATCGATTTTCCAAGCCGCTTGTTTACAAAGTTGAATATCTTTTTTCATAAATATTTTCTGGACCGATAGAAGTCATATTTTCTACAGTTTCGAAACAAACAGTGGTTCAGAAGTACATAAACGAAAACACTGGATTAAAATTTAACCCAGCCGGGATTAGCGTTAAACTCAGGGCCGGATTAACCATATGGCAGAAGCGGCATATGCCACGGGCCCCGCGGTTTTGGGGGCCCCGCGCTTTACTCAGTTCAATTTTTTTTCGGTGCGTGGGAGACGGAAAAAGAACCACAAAGCCTCATGGCCACAAAATAAAATAAAGTGACTCCAAAAAGCGAAGCCCCATAAATAAATAAAAATGCCTTTAAAGCTTATATTAAGCTATCGGAGCGAAATAAATAACGCGAAACCTTAGAAATCAAAAGTCGAGGCCCAATAAGGCACCCCTGCAACCAGATTCTTCCAAGAAAATTTTAGGGTAATGGGAAAATTTAGAAATTTAAAACTTCAAGTAAAGGCAGAGCTACCCAGAGGGGTGGTCAAAGGGGGAAATTAGCCCTGAGCCCAGGGTTGTAAGGGTCCCCAAAAACCTACAAGAATAAAATTAAACTGCATGTTGTTGGAATATATAGTCCTCTTTCAGAAAACATCTTAGGTTGTTTATATGTAGTTTAGGTAATGCAATATTATACTCGATTTTGCGGAAATCTCACCCCCAAAACGCAGGAAATCGCATTTGCTGCACTCTAAAACTCAAAATGTTCTTGGGAGAGGATGCCCCCAAACCCCCCTAACACTGCTATAGCCCCCAAAATTCAAGTTTATACACCTATGTTCTGGTCATGCATTATCTCGCTACACTAGCACAAATTGCTACTTTTTTGCGGATTTTACTCCCCTAACGAGAATTTTATCCGAGCCCCAAAAATTCTGTGGCCGGTGAGTAAAGGCTTTGATGCTTTTTACGGGATTGAGGGGCCCCGCACTGAAAAAATGCCACGGGCCCCGCGAAAGGTTAATCCGGCCCTGGTTAAACTAGCTTTGAACAACTGGCCCCAGTCAACTATATAATTATTGTGTTGCTACTGAGACGAAGTTGGGTTTGGATCTGGTTTTGTTTTAAATCTGCACACCACCAATAAGTGAGTTTCATGATCTCTTCCAAGGTTAGATTACTGTTCGCAAACCAGGTGTTCTTTCGTATGCTTCGTTCAACTCTGTGTTGCTTAGCTGTGGCAGATTTACGACAAACGTATTTGAAACCATCTGATCTGTCTTTGCAACTTGTCCACTCCATTGGTTTACTGCAAATAGGGCATAAAAGTTCCCGCTTGAGTAAACGGATGTCTTCCAACCATTCTATCACTGATATACGGCTAAGTATGTATCACTTTGACGCGTTGCTCTTTTGATGTTTTTATATACAGGGTGTCTCAAAAAAAACGCAACCACTTAATATTCTAAAATTCATATTGTTCATAAGCTCAATAGATTTTATGCCCCTGGGATTTTAAAATAGCTTCTAATCGTACAGTTCAACTGCTAATAGTCAAATCAGCTAAACTAATAATGGTGCTGCTAACAACCGAACAACGAGTTACGAGTTTTTATTGTCGTGCATGATAACTTGAATGCTAATTGTCGACCTGGTAAGATAAATTGTAAATAAAATTTTACTCGTTCAATACTTTCAATTCAGCTCGTTGGTTTACGCACCCGACTTTGTTTACCGACGATTGTGCCGCTAGATTATGATTACAAGCTTTCTCGCATTCCAGGGGCCAAACGTCTTTTGTGTTATAGAACAAAGAGGATATTCATGAATATTAAGTGTTGCGTTTTTTTTGATACACCCTGTATAGGTTGGTATTTTGTAAAAATCAATTATTCATTTAAATTATAATAGAGTTTAGGGCTATATGCCTTTCAATGTGAAATAGGTTGTGGAGTACAAACACAAGCAAAAGGTTATCGCAGCCAGGTTAGTTATTAGTGGTTTAAATCAAAGATAACATTGTTTTTACGCCTTCGAGGCTTCAGTACATATATTAAATGTATTTATTATTAAATAATAAAGGAAGTTAATGTTATACGGGTCTTCGTATCGTAGTGTCGCGGGTCCTAGGACGCTTGTCCGGTCGGCTACTTGCCCCCTCCGGTGAGTACAAATATGAGCCCAGTTTGCCTGATCGAGTTGTTAGTTGCTTGCGTGACCCATCCCGCCCCTTTCCCTAACGACTTCACGCGATGTTGTGAACTCTACGGGAGAAGCGTCTTATTAATTTTTTTTTTTTTTTTTTTTTTTTTTTTTTTTTTTTTTTTTTTTGTTAGTTTGTTTTGCAGGATTAAGCACAGTTCTTTTCACACCCGTTTTGGTCGTGGAATGGGTGTTTGGGGTAAAGGTAAATTCATTAATGATCGCCACATTTACAGGTATTTTTTGTTTTGTTTTGTGTGTGTGTGTACTTTGATGTTCGTATCGTTTATTCCACGGTTTCACTTCAGTGACTCACGTGTGACAGTTGATCACGGGATGGAGGAGGTACCGTTAAAATAGCATGGTTCGTTGAGTTATTATCTGCGCCGAAAACAGCAAACTCAAAAGAAACACCGTTTCACCCCTAGCCCGACCGTTTCGCTCGGATACCGTCTCCATCCCTACCGATCGGCAGCGGGCAAAAATATAGTGTAAGAGCTGGTGTGCTATCGTACTGATGTGAGCCTTAGGATCCGTTAGAACGTT